TGAACGTTCATCGACGTTCTTCGTGGTGCTGAATCTGATCCAAACAACTAATAAGACGAATCATCCGAAATTACATAAAAGCAGTAAAGATAGACTTAGAAACGACACCGTTTTCTCACGTCCAAGGTGTTATATATTGAATTGGGGAAGCACTGTCAATGTCATCAAATTTCGCTGACTACAAGCAGAGCTCCAGTTATTGAAGTGACAGGTAATGAACAGAAGGATAATGTTTTGATGATCCAAAACACAATGTTCTTGTAGAATCAACTATTTGGCAGTAACTGTTCTGGCTAATAATGGTTACTGCCAACGTTCATTGACGTTCTTCACCGAGATAACTGTGTGCTGAATCTGAACCAAACAACTAACAAGTTGAAGCATCCAAAATTGTATATTGAGTTTGGAAAGCACTTATGTCTATGGTTATGAAGTCTCGCTGACTACAAGCAGATCTTCAATTGTTGAAGTGACATGTAATGAATAGAGGGATAATATTAAACATTTTCCATTTTGTAAACGATTTCTAAACCATTAGTTTCATCGTTGGTTATCTGGCAACTATCCGGTATCCGGCCTATCCGGCCATTGTTAAAATCCGGTCGGATACTGGATAGTTACTAAATATCCGGCTTTGGCCGGATATTAAAAGCCTATTTCTTAGTACTAAACCATTCACAGGAATTGTTGGACACTAAGATAATAATCAAGTTCAACCCCAATAGAACTTTTTTCATTGAATACAACTTTATTTATACCAGGTTTGTCTTTAGCAACCTCATTGTAACAATCCCAATACGATATATAAAATCTTTGGTTGCAGTTTCGTCTAGTTTCCTTCTCTTCCCTTGTAATTCATCATCACATTCATTACTAACAGAACTGTCGCTGTTATAACTTTCGATTATTAATTAAAGTATCCTCTTTTTAATGCAGCAAGGCGTTTTGAAAAATCGCTTTTAGTTTTTGAGATATCAACTTTTGAAATGATCGACAATTTTTTGGAATTTTGCAATTTTCGCCGATTTTTTTAAAAATTCGTATAAAATCCACTTCCTGGAATATGAGTATGAAAATTTCCTAAAGTGTTAATAAGAGTGTCTTCTTTCCAATGAACCAACACGTTTTGAAAAATAACTTTTAGTTTTTGAGAAAACAATATTTGCAGATTTGATAAAATTTTTGATATTGCAATTTTCATCGATAATTTTCAAAATTCGCTATAAAATTTATTTCTTAAAGGATCCTTGTGGAAATATCGCCAATTATTAATTAAAGTATTCCCTTTTTAGAGTTGCTTCGTTAGTTAAATCAGCATCAAAAAAGTTCATTTTGTATCTTGGATCCAAATAAGATTACATATCTTATCAGCTTTCTTATTAATTTCATTTTTATTCAAATATCGCAATAATGTGGCAATGTAGGGTATCACTTCAGAAATGTACCAGAAATTATAACCACAATGGCCGGATAGATAAGCCGGATAACCGGATATACGGCCGAAGGGGATGCCGAATATCTGGTATTCGACTTTTCGCAAAATCACTATCCGTTCCATCACTAGTGGTATGTATGCTAGAAATATCATCGAAATTGTTGAGATTAATTGACGATCATGACCTAAATCTACCAGATTTTGCAGAAAAAACATAAGAATAAATGGATTACAGTAGATTAGATAAAATATGGGATTGTTCTTCTTGTTCATCTACTTTAAATTACTGCATTCTAAATGTATGAATAAATCATGTATTTGTCCCTAAGATAATTAGCAAAAAAAGAGAGGAAGCAATGAAAAAGAAATTACAAAAATTTTTGCAATACCCCAAAACGTAATACGAACTGATTAAAACTATGTTAAATATGAACAGAACACGTTTAATACATTTTATAATAAAATGTAATTGAATTATTGAATTTGTTGTTTACTTTTTAGATTAAAATAAACATTAATTATTTTGATATGAAATCTATAATTATAATTAATTGTTATGATAAATAAATATTTGCGTATATATTTCTAATTAACAATGTTAATTAACAATGTTAATTTTGTTCACAGTAAAGCCTGATATAAATTGTGTAATATATTCTGATGAAGGTTTTAAATTAACGAAATATTTATAATACTAAATCATCAATAATATACCACGCATCAGCTTATTTTTAAGAAGAACTTAAAAAATCATAACAAATAGTTCCAATTTGACAAATTCCAAATTCTTTGTAGATAAGTAGCGATCAGATATTTTTATAACAAACAAAAAATACATATAGGAGAACAAAACATAATCACTTTGTTATGCCAAAAGCGTTCTATTTTTTGCAGCCGAGATGATAATCTTGAAAAGAGATATGTGAAAACTGAAAAAGAATAAGGGTAGAAATATGTAAATCACATAATTGATTTTTGGACAACATTTCTTGTTATTATACGATTATAATAACATGAAATAAATTTTTTACTAACATTATATTTGTGAAATATTGAACTGTGATAATATAATACGTGAATAAGTAATTATGCTTGAATAAGCACATTGAAGCTTTTTTTTATGAAAGCCATAATACCGGAAAATTTGTTATTGCCAAATGCTTTAAGAGCATTAAAATTTTCCGTACGGTATACAAGCATGGGTTTTAATTTGAAATCGCCTGCTGCATTGCCGCTTAATAAATACGTGGGATGGTTTTTAGAAATTTAACAGAAAGAGCTTTTTCCAAAATAATCTCGACTCGCTTCGATTTGAACTTCGTTTTAACTCAGCGGCGGCGCTCGCTTTTGATTTAAGTCTTCGATCTATATGGATAATAGTTGCTCCAAATTTATATATGCAATTCTTTCTCACTGCCGATTTTAGCAGAGGACAAGGTTCGTCCTTCGTGAAGCTTGAATTATATCGAGCTTTTGTTCTATTGTAAGCCATTCACATTTTTTTTGTGATATAATTGTTTTCAGTTTTGTTTTTGAATAAAATAAATGCATGCGTAATTTAGTGTAATTTTACACGTCGATAACTAATAACTCATAAAAGTTAGTACAGCAGTAAAATTCACAAATGTTTCTAATGCGAAAAGTAAGCTATAAAGTCACAAAGAATTTCGTAGTTTATATAGTTCATATTTAGAGGTTGAGAAAGAAACCACGATGTCGAGCGTAGTACGGGGAACCCCAGAAAAATGAAATATCGTATCGCACAAATTAAAATTTCGATGCAACACTTAAAAAGTTCTGTATACCTCGAGTTCTTAACACATACTTTAACTGAACTTTTAGATCGCTTAATGAAACATTGCGCTCCATTCTATACTCAAGTGTCGTTAAGTTACAAGGAATAAAAGACTGTTGCCAGTTCATTCGCGTATATTCGAAAACCTTATTGAAAAACCAATAAACGTTGTTTTAAAATAAGATAATCAGCTTTTTCTGTTTTCTTTAATAGCATAAAAGTAGAAAATATGATAAAACAGCTGAAATACAGTGAATTTTAAGCCTTTCAATAAAAGTATGCAACATAGTGATATCTTATGCTAACTAACGCTACCTACCACTCTCACTAGAACTAACATAAGACCTAGAACTAGAATCATTTGGGTTTAGCCATCTTGAGAGACACACGGCTAAACCCGAATGTTTCTAGTTCTAGGTGTAGTGTTAGTACTAGTTTTGCACTAGCACTATCACTAGAACTAACACAAAACCTAGAACTAGAATCATTCGGGTTTAGCCGTCTTGAAAGACGTGCGGCTAAATCCGAATGTTTCTAGATGTAGGTTTAGTGTTAGTTCTAGTTTTAATTATTATTCCGCGTTTGTTGTATATTTTTATTGAACGAAAAGTAGAACTAACACTACATCTAGAATTAGAAACATTCATTGTGTTAGTCATAATTCACCTGTTAGTTCTAGTGATAGTGCTAGTGTAAAACTAGAACTAACACTAGACCTAGAACTAGAATCATTCGGGTTTAGCCGTCTTGAAAGACGCACTGCTAAACCCGAATGTTTCTAATTCTAGGTCTTATGTTAGTTCTAGTGACAGTACTACTGCAACTAGCACTATCACTAGAACTAACACAAAACCTACAACTAGAATCATTCGGAATTAACAGTCTTGAGAGACGTGCGGCTACATCTGCACTTAACCAATTTGCAAAACTATCCAATGCCTGTACTATTAAGCTATGTTGCATTCTATGTGGGACAGTGCAAGTGCACAAATCCCAATTCATATATTGCGAGTTATATGAAATTCCCGGTATTTAATTTATTTAAGGAACTTTTCTTAATTTTAACTTTTTATAAAAATCTTATATTATTGTTCTTTCAGTTTTCATTTGCAAAAGTATATCCAATAGTATATCCTATTTTTCAATAAAAGTGCAAAACACCGATGTCAAAATCATCGAAACGTTAATCCTCAACATCAGCGTTGGTTGCTTTCATTCACTTCCATTTGAACTGATTGTCAGTTAAACTGTTAACGTGGTTTTGAAAATTGGTAGTAATATAGTGTAACGCACCCTACGCGGTCAATATTACTGTCAATATCCCTTCCTCTTTTTAGTATTGAAAACCGGAAGTGAGGAAATTCGAATCTCCATCAATTCAACCCGTCAATACATCAAACCATCAATACACCACCTTACTCGGTGTACATTATCTCGATACAAAAAGATATTGACAATATTATTCTAACAATTTCTTTTTGTGTTTATTTTATTGTTTAAATTAGGATATCCAATTTAATAAATTTTTTCTAAAAAAAAACAAAACTATTTACTCGGTACAATTGCGAACAATCTACATTCAAGTCGCACGTGTGTCCTTTAAAACGGTCTATTTGCCGTGAATGGTTGCAATTTCAGACTAAACGAGATTCAATTCAACCCGGTGCACATCTAAAAGATTTTTAAACCTATAATAGATGTAATTTCTCTAACTCCTTAAATCTTTTTATTCATTTATTTATTTATTATAATAAAAATAAAAGAACTTACCGATATTCTATTATGACTGGTTAACCAAACATCACCATCTTTAGTGGCTGATGTCGAAGAAGTTGCATCTTCACCTTTAACAGTTCCTTTTAATTGTCGAACGCGTCTTAAACTATAAAAATCTAAACCACCATCGTTTGCAACACCATCATTTTCAGCAAGATTTAAAATATTTTCATTATTATCGTTAATAAACCGTTTACGTCTCGTATGATTAGAACTCTTTAACGCTTCGTACTCTTTTAAAATTTTTACAATTTCATCTCGTGTCGCCGTGCTATGAAAAATTTTATAAAAATCTGTTTCAAAATCGCGTTTTAATAAAAATTCCTCGCGAACTTCGCTAGATATCAACCGATAAACGTAATGGGCAAGTAAAATTTCGGTTATAAATATGAATAAAACACAACAGACGACACGTAAAGTATAACTTGGATTGATTTGGTAATAAGGTAAACGTGGAGACGATTGTTTTTGTAAAGTTTCAGATTTTTTTTGAATATCTGTAGCTGACATTTTTATTTGATGTTTTATTTTTTTATTTTATTTATATAAAATCTTTGTTTTCTTTTTGGCTTATAACTTTTACATTTCTCTTACGCGATGAAAACGTTTTCTATGTCGGAATTATGTCGCGTCGTGTGGGCGTCGCGACGGTCTGGACGCTACTGAGCATCGGGCTTTGTTGATTTTAGGGGGACGCGTCGCGACGTCTCAATGTGGTTCGAATTGAAACACGTGCTCTTTTAAAAAAGAATGAGTAAACAATACCCGAAAGGTTTTTGGGGAAAACGAAAAAAAGTTGATTGAGTTTTTAAAATTCGATTAAACTTTATTTAAAGGATTTAAGGTGCAACTTTTGGTTTAAATTGTAGCTAAAAAATGAATTATTAATTAATTACAGTTTGTATTATTAAATCTTTATGTAAATAAGCCATTTTAAGACCAACTTTAAAAAAATTCTTCAACTTTAATTTACACAATTTCTGAAACAGGTTTTTTAGGTTGGGTATTATTGGTTCGTACATAATGAAATTACCTCCATATCACTCACAGTAGTCACGCAACGAAATGCAAAATGTTAGGAAGAAATGAGAATTGTACTGCCGTAAAATAATATATACAGGATGGTCCATTTAACGTGAGACAAGCGATTATCTCGAAAACAGTTCACCATTGGAGTGCGGGAAGTTAGCCCCCCATTTTTTTATTTTTAAATTTTTTATTGTTGTTCTAGATTGTTCTAGAGTTGTTCTACATTGTTCCAAAGCGGCAAATCGAAAAAATAAAAACTCCGCGAGAAAACCGAAAAAACAGGTTTTTTGACTAGCCCCCCATTTTTGGAAAAGTGAAATTTTCTTTGTTGTTCTGGGTTGTTCTAGTTGTTCTAGTTATTGTTCTAGAAAATCAAAATTGTGGGATACAGCATTACGAAGTTATAACTAAAAATAGGTTTGGCCGCTGAAATGTCTGGTTGATTGCTGTGACCATAGCTTTTCTATCAATTCCATATTACAAATATATACCTATTATAGCTAACGCAATCTGGAACAGCTATTATTTTCACTAGAACAACTCTCTAAAGGGCACTTTACTCTTTGAAAATTAAAGTTTTTCGAAGTTTTAATAAGAATTAAAAAACATAGAACAATCAGAAATAACTCAAACTTTGCCGATTCAAATTGTTCTAGATGTGTTTTGCGTTCAACACGAACATTAATTTTGCAAAATCACATATTTTTTGTTGCTCTAAATTGTTCTTGTTGTTCTAGGTACTTAAAATGTTTATTTAATCACTGCGGTTTTAGTTCTTTTGAAGTTTCATATAATAATAGTTTTAAAATACTAAAAAAATATAGAATAATCTGACCATCATAATTATCTAAAAATCACAAGTTTCACCTTTCTCTTTAAACTTATAATAGTAAAACAAAAGATGCGATTTAAAGTGTATTTATTTTGTATAAACTAATAAATTAATAAATAAACTAAACTAAGAAATAAAACAATAACTATTCGATCAGTATTACTATATTAGTACAATAATTTATTTTAAGGTAAACTATAACTAAATAAACTAAATTATGTAAATAAACTAATATCATGGAATAATACGGTTACATCACTTTGCTCAATTATAAACATATATGCACATTTAAGCATTTATTTCAGTAGCTTTTTCAACTTGTACGGATTCTTTTCGTAAGTCTTTAAATAATTTCCAATTGGCATTGTTGGGCACAAATGCCAGGTAGTGTCCTACATCATTCAAAGTTTGAGTACCTTCGTAACTGATGATACCTGCGGGGATATAGAATTTGTTGTGGAGTTACAAATTGCGTACGTAATCACTCAATTTTGTTTTATTGTTCTCTCCATTTGTTGTTTCTATAAACAGACCACATTTTTTTGCAATTGTTGCTTAGGGTTTGCATGTAGTTTTCTATTACTTGGTTTAGCTATGCATAGCCTAATATTGTTACGATGTCAATGTCGATTGGTAAAATTATGTTTTTATGGAAAGTAACGTTTAAACCATTATTGCAGTTTTTAGTGCTACAATAACTAAATTCTTCTTTAAATCGTTGTGTGCAAAGAAACGTAATATTTGACACAACATTCACTATTATCAGGCCAGCAATATTCTGGTTTCCAAAATAATTTATGCCTGTTAATAGTTCAGCTCTTTTTTTATATGTTGCTTTACTAGAACCGGTTTTTAAAAATAATTTTAGGAAACTAAAGCAATATGTGCAAACATTCTCAACATGATTTCTAAATGAATAGCTAGTATCATCAGCTACGAAGGTACTCACTCTTTGAGTGATGTAGGATACTACACGGCATTTGTGCCCAACAATTAGTTATTATTTAATGATTTAAGAAAAAAATCCATACAGGTTGAAGAAGCAACAGAAATAAATGCACAAATGTGCATATATGTGTGTAAATGAGTTCCGTGATATTAGTCCATTTAGATGATTTAATTTATTTACTTATACTTTACTTTAGAATAATTTTTTGTACAGTTTTTGTGAAAGAATAGGTATTGTTTTGTTAGTTTATTTATTAATTTATTACTTAGTTTTACAAAATAAAATACACTTTAAATCGCATCTTATGTTTTATTATTATAAGTTTAAATAGAAAGGTGATTTTTAGAAAATTAGATGGTCAGATTATTCCATATTTTTTAATTTTTTAAAACTATTATTATATTAACGGTTGGGTTCACTGATTCAACAAAACCTGTCCGATATCACAACAACTAAAATTTAAGGTTTTTCTAGTGAAAATAACAGCTGTTCTGAATTGTTTTAATTGTTGTAAGTACTAATTTTTAATATGAAACTTTAAAAGAACTAAAACCGCAGTGATTAAATAAACATTTTAAGTACCTAGAACAACAAGAACAATTTAGAGCAACAAAAAATATGTGATTTTGCAAAATTAATGTCCGTGTTAAACGCAAAACACATCTAGAACAATTTGAATCGGCAAAGTTTGAGTTATTTTAGATTGTTCTATGTTTTTTAATTCTTATTGTGTAATATAAAACCGCTGACACAAGAATTACTGACTGAAACTTCCAAAAACTTTAATTTTCAAAGAGTAAAGTGCCCTTTAGAGAGTTGTTCTAGTGAAAATAATAGCTGTTCCAGATTGCGTTAGCTATAATAAGTATATATTTGTAATATGGAATTGATAATAGAAAAACTATGGTCACAGCAATCAACTAGACATTTCGGCGGCCAAACCTATTTTTAGTTATAACTTCGTAATGCTGTATCCCATAATTTTGATTTTCTAGAACAATAACTAGAACAACTAGAACAACCCAGAACAACAAAGAAAATTTGATTTTTCCAAAAATGGGGGGCTAGCCAAAAAACCCGTTTTTTCGGTTTTCTCGCGGAGTTTTTATTTTTTCGATTTGCCGCTTTGGAACAATGTAGAACAACTCTAGAACAATCTAGAACAACAATAAAAAATTTAAAAATCAAAAAATGGGGGGCTAACTTTCCGCACTCTCACCATTGAGGTCTTATATATAATCTAGAATGCGTATGTGGTGGTGATAGAAAGTCAGACATGTTGGATGTACCGACCTGAATTTAGCTATAGTTTCAAGTCTCTATTGTACCTACAATTATAACCTCATAATTCTCATAAACATATTATTATTTTTAATAAAATTTTATTTTTGTTGAAGGTTTTCGAATTCTTTTTGTTTCACATATGTTTTTTATAATTTGGTAGGTTGGAAGATTATTCACAAAAGTCCATAAAATGTTTCTGGTTACTTGACTTGAAATTAACAGTGAAGTTCAAGTAAAGTTTATTATTAAGGAATGTTCAGTTCTTTTAAAATAAACTAACAATTATTTATAACCAAAGGGTAACGTGATCAATCAGAATTGTTATAAATATTTTCTTCTTAGTTTATGTTAATTATAAGGGTTATTGTTAAAAATTATTAAGTTCTTTTAAAATATTATATAATTAATAATTATTTATTAATAAAAAGTTAATGTGTTTTGTTTTGGTTATTATATTCTGTCTTTCCAGTTTATAATAATGTAAATTCTTGCATAACGTCATCGTAAAGAGAAAAAAAATCTCTATGATATGAGCCTAACGAAAGGGTACATGCCATTTAAAAAACTTCAAGTGTTATTCGTTGCTCATTTGTTTTCTGAAATAAAAACAATTGAATGCTGTCTTATTATGGCAAATAAAGTATTAAACAACTTTTGTATAAAATGTTTTTTTATAATGTTGATACTTACCAAGATATATACTATATTCTATACATAATGGGCACCTGTATAACCAACCTTGATATAAACATAAATATATTTATAAACATATATGTAAACCAAATCTGATTGATCGTAAAACCCTTTATTCGTGATAAATTTACCAACATTACTCGAAATCTATTTTGTCGTTTCGATTGATTGAATTAACTGGCGAAATAACCTTGCTTTTACATTATTAATAATATGTTTTCAGGAAAATATCATTTCTATGGTAAACACGTTTAAAATCGATTGGTTCCAGTATTCGACCACATTAAAGGAAAAAAAGAGAGTAAACAAATTTACTCTTTTAAAATTTATCTCAACATTTAGTTGGTACTGTCTGCAACACAAATTTCAAGGAGCTACTTAAATACAACCCTTATTTACAATGCCATGATAAGTAAAATAGAAGAGTTTGAGATAAGTAAAGCTTGATTTTTTCATAGTGTTCCAAGCAGTGTTTTTTATACAGATTTTGCTTAAACTACTTAAAAATTACATTAAAAGATATTCTATGATATAACATATATCATAAATAGCTGTAAGGATGCTGCAATATAGCCTAATTCAAGCTAATGAAAGCCAAAGCAAAAAAGAGTAATATTTAAAAACATTTTTAACCATTACTTCAGGCACACGCCCATGTGTAATACGACCGACTAATAATGCAGATTTCTACGTGCTCGTGTGTGAGACGAGCGCCCTTATATGTTGTTATATCTACCCGACCAGACGCATTTGCGTAATGCAGGCGGATGTTTTTCATCTCGAGGAAGTACCTATTTACTATGGTAACATATTTTCGTCATTTGTATGCAGTATTGTGAATACCATATACAATGGGAGCATGTAATTATCACGTACATAAATTTTGTGATTATATTTCTTGCGAAAGTTAGTTCAAATATCGAAATTTTAACGTTTATACATAGATAAAGAACCGGATAGATCTCATGACCTAGGTTGGGGATGATAAATATGGAAGGCAGTTAGTATACGTAATAGACGCAGTTCAGAGAGTGACAGGGAAACTAACACAGTTAATGCTCCTTTTAGGAATGTCGAGAAGAGGAAGAAATAAGACTGGGACTAAAAAAACCATAATAAGTAACGTGCAAACTGTAAAATATGTGGGTGTATGACAGATAAAGACATGCAGAAAGCAAGATATTCATAAAGAAGCTACTCAAATGACTAACACCTTAACGAGCGCCCAATGAGCGACAGATGAAAGTTGATAGCAATGATGGCCATATCGATCATACAGAGTCACAATCTGGGAAAAAGCTAATGTAATAACATTATCGAGATATGGTGTCCAGAGCAAATAGAGACTTTGCAATCCTAATTGTGTCAGGAAGCTGTTTTTTATTTTGGTTAAACAATGAAAACGATAAAATCAACTGCTTTGTGGTTATAAAGAAGAGAAAATTTGATTCCCAAATTAAGTTTAGGTTTAGTATGAGGTTGGTGTTACGGGCAACAACCTCACCACGTAAAACAACACTTGTTACCAAACCTCAAAATTTGCCTTTGAAGCAGGACTATCGGCAAAAGAGCCGGCACACGAAACACGGACAAGACCATAGGCACATTAAATGTGAGAAGCCTTAACAGAGCTGGAGCACTTAGGGAAATCCAAGACGAACCCCACTCACAACACAAATAAAACTAATACGGCTCCGCTAGGCGAGACACGTACAACGTATGCCAGAGACATGTGCTGCAAAGAAAGTTTTTCTCAGACGATCAGGAGAAAAACGCATGGCCGGCAGACCAAGAGCAAGATGAGGAGATCCTCGGCACGAGGAGCTGGAAAAGGGTAGCTGAAACGTTTAAAGACGAAGCATTGCCAATGCTCGATTTGGGTTGTAGCGCCATTGAAGAAGAAGATGAGGTTGGTGTTATCTTAGCTGAAATCATCCAAAACTTGCACTTTTCTAAGGCAGAATCTGAACTGAGGCAGAAATGCAAATTTTTTAGCAATAAAAATTCACTAAATCATATTTACATCTATATTTTACAATATTATAAAAAATATTTCTCCTTTTATTGTTCTTTCCGCCTGGAATACCTTTTTTATACCAAAAGAGCGCTATCAAAAAAAAAAATCACAATTTTGAAAATCTAATACAGAAAATTATTGCAAAATACTTTTCTTCTTCTTTCTGTTGCTTCCATTCTACTTTAAGGTATTGGGTCTCGATCCATTCCATCTCTGTTTCTTTCTTTAGCCATTCTTCGGCGTCACTTTCCTCCTTTTCAACGCCACTTATTTCATGTCTAATATTTTCATGGTATTCATTTTCTGTACTTCTGTATTTCCTGTACTACAGCTTTCAAGCTTATTTCTGACGCTGTTATTTCATACTTTGTCTCTTCTGGGTTTTCCTACCATTTTACGCAGAACGCAGATACTTCATCTCTGTTCCTATTTTTGATTTGTGTCTGTCCAATATTGTCCAATATTTAGAGTATGTGAGTGTATAGAGAGTTTTGTAAATATGTCATTTTGCTAAAGTGCTTACCTATCAGGATATTTCATATCTGGTATTTCCATCACTATCTTTACAATATCGTCTACTACATTATAGACCTAGTATAGTCTCGCGTGCAGATCGTAGTTAGGTTATGGTATCCCAACCTCATCGGTTTTGTTTGATTTTTGACTTACTGTAAGCTACAAACAGTATCTAACTACTGCTAAGCTTGCTGCCGTATTCGAAGATAACGTTTTTTTTTTTGGTGATTTTGATTGGTCTCGAATGATTTAAAGATTGAAACGATTTGGGTGGAAATAATCGAGGAGTTGATGAAGACATTGCAGGATCGCTAGAGTTATTTATACCACAAGAAGAAAATGAGGACGATTAAGTGTGCGCTTCGTCTGAACTAACTCTAATGTATTGCAAAGAGGTGGAGAAATATCAAGAAATAGGATATTTTGAAAAGTTAGTAGAAAAGTTAAGTTGTTAGACAAAGATGGCGAAGTTCTTAAAATGTAAAATTTGTATTTTGCTTCATAAAATGATCTTTTTCATTATCAACATTATCTAAGAAAGTTATTTAACAAATAGAAAAATCCAGCTTAAAATTAACGCTACCGTCTCACTCTCCTACAAGTCATCTACATGATCCTGAATCTATCCATTCCATATTTTTGTTCTACACAACTCCAATCTTCTCCTATATCAACCAAGTGCCTGCAATCCCTATTCCTACAATTTCAGCACAACAATGCCCATAACGGTTTTTACAGTCTGTAAGCAAATGTGCTTCCACACTGTACTTAGTGTTTCCTACGTATGTAGTGTATGGAATACTATTTTTCTGTCACAAATCAACAAAGACTTATTGCACCTCCACTCTAGAACAATATTGATCACCTTGAATAAAAAACTTCTTAGAAATACACGGCTTGTTGTTCCTAGAAGTCTTCACCTTCAACTTTAAATCAGTCATCATACTACAGTATGTTAATTAATTACTGTACCCGACGTCATGTAGTCATTGCAGGTATGCAACCAATATCACAGTACTGTTATTGCAATACGCGATTTGCGTATTTGGTTGCATATTTGTAATGATGATTAACACAGTGTACTTTTCTTTGTCAGTTCCAACCTCGGCTGTGTGTCCGCCTCGATTTCCACTCCATTATATATAACCAAAGCAATAAATTGCTCCGCAACCTCGTTAAACCTCTCAAATATATTACGCCTTGTATGCAATAACTTCCCCCGATTACCATCATACTTTCTCGTCACACGAATGCCAACTTTTTTCTGACATCTTCCCTTTCATCCTTCCAATATCCTTCTTTTACTTTCACATTCATGTATTTCGAGGTGGGTACACTAAAGGCTGAACAACCAAAATCCACCACGCAATCGGGTTCCAGCAAACGCAATGAAAAACCTCATTCGTTTCATCCTCATTCTGAGTCTAGGTGAACTACGTGTGTAAATTAATTGGGTCAGATTAATTAACAAAGCATCACTACATCTCGCTATCAAATACATATATTGGCAATTGATGAAGATAGATCTCGACATAGTTCAGATTAGTTCTTAAGTCTGTTAAATCACAAAAGCGAAAAAAATAGGAAAAAAGCAATATATTTTCCACGAATGTTATTTTAGTAGTTAGTGACATAGCAACACGAAAAACTCAGTGTGGACTGTTTCAGACTTTTTTAGTAAAGGAAATCTCGAGGAGAAAAGTTTTCATTTTAAAAAGTTTGATGGGTGATATTAAAAAGTTTTGTAGCTAATTTAGGTAAATGGAGTCGTTTCTTAAAAAGCTGTTTTATACAAAATAAGCTGTAAAAAAATTCTCATCTCCTCATTATTATCCCATTTTTGCCTAAATTTAAACTTACTCTCCAAACTCCGCTAAGTGGATTTTAAAATTGTCGTTTCTGATTTTCAAATAGCTAATATAAAGGCCTCTGCGCAATCTGAAACGTGAACAACGATTTAAAACAATTATTCCGTCGAGTACAATGTGCGAAATGGTTTCGATGTTTTGTTTGTTGCATATACTCTCTGGTCTCGTTTGAATTCCATTGCGAATAAACATTGTTAAGTCAATTTATATTCATGAATAATTCAGATTTGTTGTGTAATTTACCATTAGGGAGGTGTTTGATTTGCTTAAAATATTAACAAATGCTTTAAATTTAATTAAACTAATCTAACTGGAACTGCAAAAACAGGTTTAAAAAGACCAAATTTATTTGTCGAGATAAAAAACTAACAATTTTTCATTAAATTTGATAGTTTATGCACGATCTGTGCAAATCGATTACATTTGCATTTTTGGTAGCAAAAAAAGGAATAACAATCAATTTTTCTGTCGGGATTTAAAATTTCGTTATTCCTACGATCAATAAAACAATAAAATTTAAAGATAGTTTATAAAATTTATGAATTGTATAATATATAAGGAATTAAGAGTTATTTAACACTTTTTCAAATACAATAAATTCGCGCCTTTTAGCTGACACCTATTGACAATTAGTTAAATTAAAATTAAAGCAGAATTTGTTTTATAATAATAATTCGAATAAATTAATTTTAACAATAATTATTATTATTATATATATCTCAATAAAATGTTTTATATGTTATAGATATACATAAAAAAATTTTTTTTTATCATTTTTAAAGAAACCTACTTTTAAAACATAACCTCAATAAACAACGACGTCTCAAAACACACCTTTCAAAAAAAAAATGGAAATATTTTGTAAAAATTTACCTAAAATCGTACGTATTTCTCAAATTTTTCGATTTATACTAATAATTTCTTTCAAAAACCTAGGAACTTCACGCTCATTTAAATGGTTCATTAAGTTCAGCAACATTAAAAAAGTTGGGTTGTCTCACCGATTCTATTTCTGAGTACCAAAAGCTTAACACCCTTCTAGAAACAACGCCGGAAACCTTAAATGATTGTTTCCCGGTTTTTAAAATTGCTCATAACGCAACAAATACAAAGGAAAACGTTTATACAGCCACTCAAAGTGTTATTAAAGATTTTCATGATGACAATGTGGTTTATTTAGAATTAAGGACGACTCCAAGAAATGGTGATGATTTTGATAAAGAAACTTATATTGAAACCGTTATAAAAGCGATTTGTGATTATAAGAATTGTAGTGGTAAAACTGAATCGATGATCATAAAATTGATTTTGTGTATCGATAGAAGACATGATATTAGAACTTCTTCAGAAATGATTGATTTGATTATAAAAATGAAAGGAAAATATCCGAATGTTATTAAAGGTGTTGACCTATGTGGAAATCCAAACGAAGGGAAATTTTTTAGAGGGATTTTTGAAAAGGCTCGTGAAAATGGCTTAAAAATAACTTTACACTGTGCTGAAGTAGCTAATAGTGACGAGGTTATGGAAATGTTCGAATTTAAACCAGATAGAATCGGTCATGGAACTTGTATTCATGGTGATTTTGGTGGGAATGAAATGTTATGGTGGAAATTTCAAGATTTAAGGATTCCTGTGGAATGTTGTCTTACTTCAAATGTAATTTGTGGTACATCAAACGGTTTTGAAGGTCACCATATAAAAGAATTAATCAAAAATAAAATACCTTTTTGTATTTGTACCGATGATAAAGGAGTTTTTAATACTGATTTATCCTGCGAATACTTTTTATTGAGCAAACATTTCGGATTGGATAAGATGGATTTGTGGAAAATTTGTTTTGAGAGTGTCGATTTAATTTTTGACAGTGATGAGGTTAAAAGGGAATTGAAAAAGGTTATGATGAATTGGATGGAAAAAAATTTTGATTAAATGATAATTTAGAAATTTTTTGTGTAATCATAAAAATGATCTTTTTTTATAATAAAATAATTCTTAAAAGAAATACTTTTAAAATTAAAATGTTATCTTACATTACATAAATTATATGTATATTAGTTAGGCGGACCAACCAACCATACACTGACCTCAAAGATGTATTGTACACTGATCAATAACATTATCAAATTTCACTGTGAAGTCCAATGCTCTTGACGAATATTAATACCTTGCTTGGTGAAAGGTCATTCAGATCTTTTGGGGAGATAAACTGCGACCCAAAAATCGAGAATCTGATACTAAACTGATGATTCTTTTTTTGATCGAAAGGTTGATTCTTCGATAATAATCCTGCGATAGAAATTTTCATTTAGATTTTAATTTGAGCATATACGGGCTGCAAGAATGTGAAAATCTTTTTTTTCTCGAAATTTGTAATACCCTTTGGGGTGCAGCTGCTACAGCAGATGATGTTAACTGAAATCAAACGGTAGCCCAATCTTTTCTGAACATTTTGTTTTTCTATTCACTCTATTGTCTCTGTTACTAACGAAGATGCAGTGTTTTAAAGCGAACGCCTATGAAAACAAAACAAACAAGCATAAAAAATCTAAGGTGGCACGGTGGGTAGCGTATGTCATTTGTTTCGAATAGTAAATTAACAGTTGTTAAAGATTTTCATAGTCTTTTAACATAATAGCAAGCCCGTTGTCAGTAAGTGATGTTGCGCGTATTGTTACTTTAATTGGGGATGGCAAAAGTCAGCGATACGTTGGATATACCCCGAACAACAGTTCAGGATGCCTGGACCAATATGTGGAAACAGGAAATTTCACTAGGCGGCATGGTTACGGTAGAAGACGAGTGGCAACACCAGTTGATGGCCGATTTATTGTTCTAAACACTCTGAGGAATCGTAGAACGACAGCTGTAGAAACTCGGCATCGTCTTCAAATGGTGCGTGGGGTTGACGTAAGTGAAAGAACCATTCATCGAAGACTTGATGAAAGTGATCTGACTGCAAAAAGACCTCGGCTGCTCCAGAGACATCGGCGAGTCTTTAATTTGGATGCGTACATATGAATTGGGGAATGAAACAATGCTCTTCACTGACGAGTCCCGATTTTGTCTCCGGTTACCTGATGGTCGAGAACGAGTGTGGAGACGTCGTAATGAAAGGTTTGCGACCTGCACAATTTCGGACGAGTACCTTTCCATTTTATTGGTGACGGATTCATGCTAATGCATGACAATGCGCCACCGCACGTAGCACGTGTGGTTAGCGAATATCTTGATGACGTAGGGTATTGAACGGATAGAGTGGCTAGCGTGCAGCCCGGACCTTAACCCTATCGAATATTTTTGGGACCAACTTATGAGACGCATTCGTCGTCGTCCTGTCCTACCGGACAATCTGCAAGAGTTACGAATTGCTTTTGAAGAAGAGTTTGCCGCAATTCCTCAGGAATCAATTAGGAACCTAATCAGTTCGATGCCGCGTCGTCTACATGAGGTTATTTTGGCTCGTGGGGGGTACACATGTTATTAATTTTCGTGTTATTATTAATTGTTACATTAAATTAAATTTGTTTTCTTGTTTATTTGCCAACAGATGTTTACAATAATGAAGGACGTACGCAATTCTGTAATTCTAAGAAAATGTAAGTGCTTCTGCAAAACTGTTTCGGGTGCCCAGTTTTTGTTTTCAACGTCAGTGATTTAAGGCGCACTTATAACAAAGATTAAAAATCTGTATAGTCATTGTAAATTCCCGGCCACACCATCACAGAACCACCATCGAAACATTCGCGTTTCATAATTGTATAGTCCACAAATCTTTCATTTCAACGTCTTCATATTCGCTCATCGACCATCGGGTAATAGACAAAACCACTACTCATCCGTAAAAAGGACTTTCCTCCATTGCTCGATCTCCTAATTCACATGTAAGCGCGCAGATTGAAGATGCGCTCGTCGATATCTTGGAAGCAGCCTGGGTCCTTTGGCAGCCTTCTTACAGCCAGACCACATCTAGCAAGTTTTCAGCGAATGGTTCTCTCACTGACATCAACAACATGCACCATTTGAAGACGACGCCGAGCTTCTACAGCTGTCGTTCTCCGATTGCTTAGAACAATGAAAGGGTCATTTGAAAGTTTTGAAATATTGTTTGAACGAGGAATAGGAGGATAAAACAAAAAATCCAGTTAGAGCAGTCGGGATGGGACGCGAAAATTAATACTCTCCAGTAGTGGAGGAGAAACAATTACGTTATTAACGATTTTGTAATATGTTATCGCATCACGTTGACGGAGTGATAAAATATTGAAGCTACGACATACAGACTCGTAATCAACATAATCCATGTTAGTCCTGTAGCTGAGGAGATTCAAATTTTTTTTTGAATTCCTTCTATTCTACTTATGGATATAAAGTTGATAATGGGGATTAAGTATGGGGATTAAGGATCTTGTCATTTAAATCCTATTGAAATGAAAAATGTTTTTATATTAACCATGGTGAGAATGAGTCTGGCGTTCGTCATGTGTTGTCTGAAGTTCTGCAGGGCGGAATTGTTTCTCTTTTACTTTTCAGTTTGTTTATTAATAAACTACAAAGTTCATTCCCGTGTAACTATTACTTCCATGCTAACAAACAGATCTACATTTCTTATGCCTGCGTTGCGTATTTCTATAACCAAATCGACAATTTAACAGTAATCTGAAAAGTTGTCAGTTTGGACTTTGATAGGACTCTTTCCGTTGACGTGATCAAGGTGCCCAAGTTTTGAATTGAAATGATGAAAATTGAAAACAAGCTGGAATAAGTGCATCCGATTAGAATCACATTACATTACATCGGGTAGACGGACCAACCAACCTTGCACCGCGACCTCAAAGATCTATCTATACGAACACTAACACCTTGCTCGGTGAAAAGTCATTTGGGGAGATAAACTCCTAAAAGATTGAGAATCTGATACGATAACAGCAGGGGAGTGGCATAGAAAATGCACAACCGTCTCCTCATCCTCCGCACATAGTCGGCATTCAACATCGTCGGCTATGCCCAACAAGTTGAGGTGTGTCTATAATCGGCAGTGCCCAGTAAAGACACCCATTAAAACTTTAATGGTGCTACGACCAAGTCCTTTAGCGCTGCCCTCTCGCTAGCTCATCTGCCGCTTCATAGCCAGCAACCACAGATCAGAGAAAGTCTCTAATCATAACTCAGTGTGTTTGAAGTTCTTTTACTGTCATTAACCAGAGCCTGAACCGTTTTCACGGCCTGCGCCGTCTGGAGAGCGACTTGACTGTCTGAGAAAAATCGTACGGTCATGTTCTTCTCAAGAAGGATGTTAATGCCCATATCAATAGCAAATACTTGGTACTGGCTGTATACTCCTGCCCCGACCCCGTCTGGCGTTTTTGATTCTTCTGCAAACATGCAAATATTTGTCTGAACCAGAGAATTTTCGTTGTCGATTCAAGGTTTACAATCTGATATCGGACAAATTAACGGCTAGGTGATAACCTTCCAGCGTTTTTTATTCGTGAATGTAGCGCAATTTTTGCTGCCCACTTTACGTGATCATGAACTTGTGCGAGTTTCCTAAAATCTGGAAACAATCACGGATAGTTCCCGTTTTCACGCGTGGTGATCGTAACAGCATTGCTGATTATCGTCCCATCTCCATAATATCTAACTTCGCTAAAGTATTTGAGCAAATCATCTACAGAGCTATTTATCCGCAAGTGCAATCGTTTATATCACCGCATCAGCAGGGATTTATTAAGCGCCGTTCAACAATTACTAATCTTGCCGTGATTACGGAAGTAATATGTGAATCCTTGAATAGGGGTGGTCAAGTGGATGTAGTGTACGCTGACTTTTCTACGGCGTTTGATGCGATCCATCACAATTTTCTCCTCTGGAAGCTCAGTATGTTTGGCTTGCCCCTGGTCTTATGTATTTTATAATGGCTTTGCTTCAGTGGAGTTTATTGCAACATCTGGTGTCCCTCAGGGCTCTAACTTGGATCCACTACTACATGTAATATTTATTAACGACTTATTAAACATATTTAAGTCTGGTGTATTGGCTTATGCTGATGATCTTAAGATATTTTCGATCGTAATCAGCTCAAGATTAATGTGGAGAAGGGTATTGCTATCACTTTTACACGTAGACCTACTCCTATTCCTTCATCATACTGTATAGGTGGAATCTCCCTGCTTTTGATAACAGACTATCATTTATACCGCACATAGAGGATGTCGCTTTTTGTGCTGCAAGGATGCTTGGCTTTGTAACTGGTTACTATCTTGCATCAACTTTAGTGTACCCAGCCACACTATCCGGTATAGCTGTGTCTTCTATTTGAAGAATAGTAGAACCAACGTGCAGGCTAGCGCTCCACTACAGAGAATGTGCAGGCTTGTAAACCTGAGGCTTAAGTTTGTATTTCTGTATAGTATAATATTGTCCTGTAGTTGGTGCTTTGTTGGGCAATAAAGATATATATTATTATTAATCACTTGCAGTGATGAAGATTACTCCTACATATTTGACTTCCTTTGAAAAAGGAATTTCTTCACCTTGCATAGTTGGGCGGATTAGTCCACCCAACTTTCGTCTCCTGGTGAAGGGCACAATTGTCTTTTGGGGGTTTATCAAGAAATTCTCTCCCTTACACCTTGCGCAAATAGTGTCTAGGGTAAAATAACAAGAACAAATTTCGCATCGTTTATTTAGTATTTTGCTATGGTTAGATGTTAGAGTAAGTGCTCTAAATGTTGTCCTTTAGCAGCAATACACGACGAAACCATTGATTGTCAAACTCGCTCAAGAATTCCGGAGCTATCCTGGACTACATAAAAAATCATTTCTTATTTTATTAACATCAACTTATGCTTATACGGCTTATTATTATATTACTGGGAATTATGATGATACTTTTACTGCGAGAAAAGTTTTGACTTGCGTCTGTTTGTAAACAAACTTATTCATTGTTTGAGTAATTCCTGTAAACATCAAAATGCAACGTTTCACGACAATTTCACTTCTAAAAATGGAGATTCATTTCGTGTAGAATAAGTATTACTTTTACAATTATTTATAATTAAAACAGATTTAAATTCGATTCATAACTAAATCAAGAAAATACAATTTTTAAGGTTAGCTTTAAGTTACTTTAAAAAACAATAAGGATTACCAACTTAATTAATTTTTAACAATTTATTACCAAAAATCGCAAACATGTCCCTCTAATCATTTTATTTATTTGTAAATTAAACAAATTTAAAACATCAAAATCATCTTAAATTAAGTATTTAAGGCCCTTTTATTCTTCAAAATAACAATAAAAACAACTTCACAGCAGTTAAAATTTAGGTTGGTAATAATTTTAGTTCCAATCTGTTGCACGTCCTGAGACTGCAGTAAAGTGTCGCAGTTTTAACAGTTTGGGTGTTTTGTGCGAGGAGGAAAAAAATTCCGGTTGTTATAAATCAAAAAAGAAGTAATCGCTCATAGTCCCTTTTACATTAAATCATAATTAATAAAAAAAACTACGATAACATTAAAAAAGTGAGATTAAAGTGAAAATGAACAAGACGTGTGCTAGGTGTGAAAAAATGGTTTATCCAACGGAGGAATTAAAGTGCCTCGACAAGGTAAGAGTGCAAAACCAAAAAGGAAAAACGTTTTTTTATTTCGCCACAAACGTATTCTAACCTCAATTTATCAATATCCAAATTAATCCGCTTTGATCCTTAATTCTTTTAAACGAATTCATCAACAACATGTGTTTATCACGTTTCGGTGTTGGAAGAGTTTTTTTTTATTTTGAAAAAGGTTAAACGAGATTAAAAAAAGGCGTGTTAAAACGAACCCAACCCTTTCTGTGCGATCACATGTTTAAAAAAAATAAATAAAATAAAATGCTTTACTGAGACGTTTAATTTACGACGAAGAAATTCAATTTTATGAGTCACAATTGGGTTATTTTTCTTAATTTGTCTTCTCCTCCTGTTAAGTCATCACTATTTTTGTTGGTTGAGGACGATGAATTTCAATTGAATTGAAGAATTAAAGTTACGTGAAAGAATTTGTAACCAAATTTATGTTTTGTGAGATATTAAAAGGTACAATGTATCTCCATGACATTAATTTTTTTAGGTTAATTTTTTTAAACCTTATTAGGTATTTTTTAAATTGAAGGTGAAATTGAAATAAAAATGAGTCAAGGATATTTCAAATCTAAACCATAACGAATTGTTAATGTAAAATAGTTTTATTTGTATAATTTTTGCTTGTTTTTAAAAATTCCCTCTAAGTTATTGAGGTTAGATTATGTTTATTCAAGTAAGTTTATTAAGTTCTATTAAAAGAATTTAATTATAAATAAACATTAGGATTAGTTTAGTTTTTTTTTTTATTTTTTAAATTCAATTGTGATTCAAACGAGAACATTTCAAGGTTTTTCATTCGCATTTTATTCTCCTACTAACAAATTACGTCAGCAAATCGCAATCTTGCTCGCTTTACAAAAGTTTCAAATTAAACAATATTTTTATTTGGTACACTATAATCGAGTTATAAATTCTTAGTAATGTTTAACCGCTTTTTTTCTTAATTATTCACCTTATTTAAATCATTATTTTCCAGAATAGTTAGTTAGTCATACCAATTAAATAAAAACAAACGGAATTTTATTCTAAAGAATTTATTTTTACAAGAATTTAAGAATATAAAAAGAATTTGAATCCGGAAATGATTTAAAATTTTTAAATTATCTTACTAGCGCCATCTTTCGTTGGCTAGGTGTTTCAAATCACAATATTTAAACGAATTTATTCGATATTTTCAAGATTCTTGATACATTTATATCTGAAAATATTTTGAATTGTTCTAAATGTGTTGATGTACACAAAGTTATATTATCTTTTTGGACTTGTCGTAGTCTTTGTGGAAAAAATTGTAGTCTTACCCCTGAAAGACTGTATTAGCTCTACTGTGGTTGTGACTGTGGTTGTGACTGTGGTTAGACTATGACTAAGATAGGAAAGCCCGACAGACTTCAGTTATTAGTAAACTTTCACGAATTCAACGAGTAGCTGGATTGTCAATCTGTGGTGCGATAAGCAGAACGCCAACTCTAGCAATGGATATTCTGCTTGGTCTATCTCCTTTACATTTGTATATAGAGAAGATGGCTAGATCTACCATTTACAGGGTTAAGCAAGATGCTCATAACGATATGTCCTACCAATAGGCTTTGGAAGACACTATAAGCACTGATATTGTGCTATCAATGCGCAATAGCTGCTATCCAGGCAGTCCTGTCTAAATTCTGTGGTACAGACAGATATTTGCATGTTCACAGATGGATCAAAAACGCCGAAAGAGCTCGGGGCAGGAGTAAGACACTTCGGATTAAGCAAACTTACAGCCTGGGTACGTACTGTACTGTATTCCAGGCGGAAGTATGTTGCTATTGACATGAGTGCTAAAATCTTTCTTGAGACAGGTGTGAAAAACATGACAGTATGATTTTTCTCAGACAATCAAGTCGCTTTCCAGGTCAGGGTACGCCCGATTTAAATCACTTGATTTAAAACACAATTTTAATCAATGATTTAAATCAAGTAATTTATTTATATTAATCAATAATTTAAATCAAAAGAAAAATTAAGATATATTCTTTATATAAAAACTGGTAAACCAGGCAACTAAAAACTAAGACAAACAAAAACAATATACATATAAATAAAAACAAAAAGAAAACAATACTCAGGAATTATAAAGTTTATATATAAATATGTACTAATTTTCTTGCTTTTTGCATTCTTCATTTGTTGCACACGTTGGAGTGGACGAGCCCAAATGTTGTGAAGACCCCTCTCTATTGAAACTGAAGAACAAACAACATATAAAAATTGTTTTAAAGTTGGAAGAAATTTCGCAATGTCAGGAAGGTTCTTTTGTGAAATCCACCACTGCAAAGCAGTAGCAATTTATATAATCTTCCTTGCAGAAAATGGTTCTAATTTCGCCTCTAGCTTAACTATTAGTGGTAATAATCCAGTATTAGCGTACGTATCCCTAATTTCTTTTCCATCGTCAATTTATATTTTGTTTTAGTTACATCTAAAATAAATACAATTAAATGGCAAGGCGTAAGTGGCGTTTGCAAGTTTTTCTGATAAACTTTTATTTATAATTCCAATTTTTCGTCAAATGAACTTCCTACTTCGACACTTCTGCAGCATCATATAGAAAAGATATTTAAATAATCTTCTACAGATTGTTTGGGATCAATATTAGATACTTTTTAGTATGTATATGGTATATTATTTGGTATATTTAGGTATATATTATAGGTTTTCCATTGACTTACATGTATTTGCAGACAATCCACCATACTGTTCCACCTCACACTACTTAGATCTAGCAAGGTGATTGTTTCTAAAATATTTCACAATTTGGATCACATGCTCTTTGACTTTAGTTACTTCAAGGTCTTTGCAAAGCAAATTTAGAAAGTGAGCTCATCATCTATAAGTTATAACAGAACCACTAAAGCTTAAGCTTCTGATCTATATCTTCTCATACTTCTCATATTCGCAGCAGATCCGTCACAAATGACGTTACAGAAAGGCTGCCAAAACACTTTATTTTTTCTTCCTCATAAATGACCCTGAATGATGCGTTCGTATTTACGTAAAAAGATGAAAACCAAGGTTAAAGAATAAAAGATACGGTGCAAATATCAATGGTTTTTTGAATAAAATAAAGTGGTTTTATCGTGATTTTTTCCTATCCTGCTCTGAGGTTGTTGGCAATGAAGCGGCAGATGAGGTAGCACGAGAGGGCAGCGCTAAAGCGTTTGTGGGCTAGAGACAGCAGTATGTCGCAAAGTTTTTCTGGTATTTCCGATGTCACAGTGTGCAAATTTTTTAGACGTTACCAGAAGTTTGGCGGGCATGTAGATTGAAACAGATCGCTCTCGGCGTTTAGTATTCCAGGACGGCAACAAAATGTTAAAGATTAATACCTTGTGCACATTTCTAAAGAAGATCATGCACGTAAACCTCTCAAGGATGAATAAGCTCGCATTGACTCTGGACAAAGGATTCTGCATCTGTTCCTTTTGACAAAAACAGGTGCAGACAGCTTTTGGCGACAGAAACTCGACTCGTCGTACTTCGGAAATAGTTCAAGGTGCAAAATCAGCAGCAAGTAAACACTGGGTATATAATCCCTTGTTGTACCGAAAATGTGAATATGTCGTTTTATGGTAGATGTTGCAGGTCCTACAGTGGCAAAATACTTCCCCATAATATCATTTTTTTATCAAAATGCCTCTGGGCTTCACTATCTTTATCACGTTACGTAAACCTGGGTACTGGTACGTTTGTGGACATGAGCAATGTACTCTTTCTTTTGAAGTCTAAAATCTTTATTTTACAGCTCAACATCTTAAATATTTCGTGTCGTCTTCGCACATTTATCTAACGTTGTGGTTCACCACGCAGCTTATTCCTCTTTGTGCAGCAAACAACTGGAATTATTCTGATCATCGGCGACATTTCTAGTGCATGCTATAAATATGGTGACTCAATAGAGTGTTGAGTCCACAAAGTAAACAAGCCATATAAGGGCCACAATTTATGAATTTCAAATGCATGTTATTGGCTGCACTCATCATCACATTTTTCCAAGCTTAAAAACGTTTGCAGTATGAACCTGAACGGTTTAAAGGATAACAGAATTTCTGAAAATGTAATTTATTTCTATTTACGGACTGAAATGTCTATTACTGTTCGTATGCAACGTAGCGACTTTGTATTTTCCTCAAACATAAAGTATATGGGATATAATAGAGATATTTCTACAGCCTAAATATTTAATCAATAGGCAAATCATCACAATTTAATATTTAGTTTAAATTTTTTGTTTGAAACATTAGTATTATTACTAACTAATATTATGTAATATTATTATTAATTAACGTTATTATTTGCGTATTATTTATTATCTAAAATTGTCAAGTGTCAATTTAATCTTATGGAAATAAACTTTATTACTATTGATTAATTTTCTATAAAAGTTATGATTGCAATATTGATTTAAAATTTTAAACAGATGTTGTTTATAACGGTGCGAAATATCAAGACTTTGTACGGTTGCTTTTCATATCTCTGCAAATGATACCGTATTAAAGACGCGGAGATGGAGAGAATTTATTCCATTTATCTAACGGAGATTCGATTTGGAACTGTTTTTTTTTTTTTTTTAATTTATTAATCGCTATTACCCAGTAATAAAACGTTTTAAATCGAATATTGACGATGATAAACGTTTTATTTACCAACCTTTATTTTTAAAACGATTTATGTGCTATTTATTACATTTGATTTAAGATTTTTTTGTTGTTTTTGCAGGTTTGGCATAAGATCTGTTTTAAATGCAAAGAATGTGGAATGAGTCTCAATATGAGGAATTATAAAGGATTTAATAAGGAACCGTATTGCGAAGCGTAAGTATTTAATTTAAAATATTTAATTTGTAGCCCACTTCAAAAAAAATTGATAAGATTGTATTTTTAACTACTTTTAACGAGCATTGTTTAAAATTAGAATTTAAAATAAAATAAGCGATAAAAAGTAGACAATTTTGTAATGAATTAATTCAATTATGAATTACAAAAGTTTTTATTGTAGTACATTTTTTTTTGTTGGTATTATTTCCGCGTGTGTTTTATCCACTTAACACCTATTAAAATTCCATGCATACACAATTAATATCACTCAACTTCCTGTTTTAGTTCTTATTTGGTGAACAGTGAAAGTTAAAAAAAGAAAGGAAAACGTTGGATTGGGAATGAAAAATCTTTTCAAACAAGTCCTAACACGACAAATTTATGACACATTATCTCTTTTAAAATCGTCGTTTAGCTTAATAATTTTTTTATAACGACAATTTTGTAAACAACGCAAGTTGTTGCGTTTCTTTTAATTATTAGAACGTATTTAAACCTAAGACAAACAATAATTAAGGCAGGTGAGACAAAATTACATGTTGTGTAAAGAATATAGGAGTACCACGATCAGAACAAAAACTAATTGGTATATTTGCAAACAGTGGTTACGATGAAAGGTTAGAAAGGTCAACATGCAAAATAAATTCTCGAAAAGCCACAGATGGGGGTAATTTGTCAGAATCCCATGACGACGATGATGAAACAGTGTTAAATTGAGCCATCAAAAAATGAATGCAAAGTAGTGAAACTGTTTATCTAACTGTACCTGTACCAAATAAACAACGAGTACTTGTTTTCAATGCCAGTGTATGTGTTGTGAATAAGATGAGGATATGGATAACAAATAAGGTGATGGTCCATTAATTTCAATAACTACAACCGATATATTCGATAATTCTGCAATTATACTTCTGCATTAATGCAAATGTTTTATAAAAAATGTAGTTACTGATAATGTTGCTAGTGTGCCTAGAATAATACTGGAAAAATGAATTGTGTTATTACATTTTTCTAAATATTTAAATATGGAAAGAGTTATGAATAGTGTTTTTTACATATGCTAGAATGTACACATTTAGCAAGAGTTATCCACTACCAATCAAAGTCTGTTAAAATAGTTCATTAGAATCAATTAAACTATCTTTAAACAGTAAAATATGCAAAGAATATGGAAACAACATCAAAAAGATTAATAAATTAGTTTCTAATACAACTATTAAGTGTAATGCTTGGACATGTTAACATCAATAAAACCTATTTAATAATTCCAAACATTCTAAACTAATCAAAAAAGCTGACTTTAAAAATAAATTATAACTATGTAATTCCAACCCTACTATAATTGTTTGAATCGTTTATTCGTTGGATGGATACTTGACAAAATTAATGGATAAAAACATTTGCTTTTAAGGTTAAAAATCTTTTTCCTAAGAAAAGAACCTGAAGTACGAGAGTAGACTGTTTATAACAGCTATGTCTTACTTAATTTGAACACAGAGTGTGTTGATCTCAACTAGCCATAAAATCAATGTAGTTCGTCTGACATAGTATTGCTTTTAGGGTGATGAAATAATGAATTTAGCAAGCGTATGTTAGCTCAGGGAATACGCGATTTGGCAACTAGTCTAGAAATTATAGATAGTTTCTAGATTATAGATAATGGCAGGAAAATCAAAACGGTTTTGGCCCTTGAAACTTACTGGAGTAATCAGTATGATTCTAACGCTGGAAAATTTGATTGGATTAGAGGAGTAACATTACGTGACCAGTTTAGGAGTGCTGTAACATGAGAAAAACTATATTTCCAAAATGTTATTAAGAGTTATAAAGTGATGACGAAGGTACTGAAGAGACCATGTTGATGGAAAATAGATGGATGAAGTGGGCAAAGGAAGAAACATCCACATCGAAGACATTTCTTGGCAAACCACCTAGACAAGAGATGGTATAAAAGTGAGGCATCCCAAGAGGCCTAATAATTTATAATAGACAACGCAAGATTTTGTCTTAATAAAAGAAGAAGAGGAGGTTTTTCCTACTGAGTTAAGACAGCAAAAGTGCTGACAAGAATAGACGAAATTACAAAACTTTGCAATAAGAAGTCTAAAACAAAATTCACATGGTACTTTATTCAGGGCCAGAGTATCTAAATCCTAAAGATCCCTGTTAATATTGTTAATATTTTGATGAATTTTTCTGAAATTCCAATATTTTCCATCAATTATTTTTACAGATTTTTACTTAATTATATTTATATATTTAATCAGTTTTCCTAGAATGTTCGTGTATTAATTCCTAACAAAATAAATATTGATATAGACGAATATCGCTCGACACCATTTTTTTTTTTCAATTATTCCAGAAACAAATATTGATATTAATGTTCTTATTTTTCAACATATTTTAATCTTTTATTTGCTTATATAATATATTAATTAAATACAAATATTGTATTTTTTAGACATATACCAAAAGCAAAAGCAACTCCGATGGCCGAAACTCCCGAATTAAAACGAATAGCTGAAAATACAAAACTTCAATCAAACGTAAAATATCACGCGGATTTTGAAAAGAGTAAAGGAAAATTTACTCAAGTAGCCGACGATCCGGAAACGTTACGCATCAAACAGAATACAAAGATAATAAGTAACGTTTCGTATCATGGGGAATTGCAAAGAAAAGCGGAAATGGAACAAAGGAGGACGATTAACGAGAATGGAACGATAACTTATGCTACGGGGACTCTTAAAGAAGACCAGAAAAACGCAAATTTACTTCAACAGAGTATAATTCAGCAGCAACAACAACAATATAACGCGATTCCTACTCAACAACCGCAACCACAACAACAACAACAACCACAAATGATTCAAACGCCGCAGACTCCCGTTCAACAGAACTCTCAGGGAATTGGGAAAATTAGTGATTATGACCCGCAAATTGGTGGAGGAACGCCTTATTCAGGTAAATATGATATAATTATTTTTGATAAAAATGAAAATTGAAACTAGGTTATCTATGTAAAGGCGATATTCCAAGCGTCGATATCCTGTTATTATTAAAGATTGGAAAGAAAGGTATGATTTGAGATTAAAAATCAATGTTATTGAAAAATTTTTAAAATTGAAAAAAAATTGTCTCTATGACTAATTCGTTTTCTGGGTGGTCTCTCTACTTTAGGAGCATTGCAAGAAAAAGTAATATTAAAAACTTTAATGAATGGCGGACTTTGAAGATAACAGACAAAATATTTTTAAGTTATACTATTAGTATTATCTATTTAATACGAAGAATCCAATAGGATCCAAATCGGGTTATTCCCCAAGTTGCTCTATTTCATTTTCATAGATAAACTCATACATGATGTAGAAATCAAGGACGGTAGTCCTAGTTTTAGTTGTTATTCAATATTAGATTGTTGTATATTTTATAACTAGAACTATCTACAACTATTATCTGTTCATCGAACAGATGCAGTGATCCTGAGCGAAGCCACGCCTATTTCCCCCACTATTACACAATAGCCAGTTTCACACACAAAAAAATACATATAAAGAAAGAAAATAAACGTAAACGACAAGGAAAAGAATAAGAAAGAGAGCTGTTCTTGGTTGACCTTTGTAAACCGGACTTACCAATAGAAAAATTCTATTTAACTTTTGCGCGTATTTGTGGGAGGAGCTGTAATTTCAAATTGCTGCATCTGTTCGATGAACGAACTATAGAATTAACACTAGACCTAAAACTATAGAAAGTTTCGCATGTTTCTAGTTCTAGTGTTAGTTCTAGTTTTATTTGTTATTCAGCACTAGATTCTTGTACACTTTTATTGAACTAAAAGCAGAACTAACACTAGATCTAGAACTAGAAACATTCGGATTTAGCCGTCTTAAGAGACGCGTGGCTAAACCCGCATGTTGTTAGTTCTAGGTCTAGTGTTAGTTCTAGTGCTAGTGTCAGCTCTAGTTTTTTGTTGCTATTCAACATTAATTTGTTATATATTTTTATTGAACTAAAACTAGAACTAGAAAGTTAAGGGTTAATATTTTTCTAATTTTAATTAAATTCTTATCTTTTAGCAAGAAACTCTCAAACTGTTATCTATACGAGTGACCATGGTGCGGTAAATAATCCGCCTCAACGTCACATCGGTTCTGTTCACGATATGGATCCGGTGAATCATAATTATGGTTCGTTGGGGCGCGTTTACCGCGCGATGTATGATTATGAAGCGGTCGACGACGACGAGGTAAGTTTCCTCGATGGCGATCTAATCATAAACGTGAGTAACATTGACGGAGGTTGGATGACGGGTGAGGTACAACGCACTGGACAAGTGGGCATGTTGCCGGCCAATTATGTTCAACTTGCTAATATTTAATCCATTTAGAATACAGAGAAGAATACGGTTTATTATTATTGTTTTAAAATAACACAACAAAAGATGTTCTTATTTTTTGTCTTCTATCTATTTATTCTTTATTGAATTTTTTTGATCAATTTTTTGAGGTTATAAACATATCGAAGTTCATTCCAAGTGCATTTATATACAATAAATATAAATAGAAATATTTAATTTTCAGTAGGATATCATTCCCATTTTTACAATTTACAAGAAATCCACTTTTAAGCAGTTTTATAACGTTTTTACACAAATTAATGTTCAATAATATAAAATCTCTCAGAGTTCCATGAACATTTTTTATACAATTTAAATTTAATGTGTAAACTTTATATAGTAATTTTTTACTGATTGGAAATAGAATCTGAGAGGCGAATTAATATCATTTATTATTGAACATAAAATATATTTGATAAGAGTGCTTGCCAAAATGTTTAAAAATAATGTAATAATAAAGTGCCTTGTTGTGGGTTTAGAGATAATTGATTGCAAAAAAAAAATAGAAATAGTCGTAGAAATAATGAATTAAAAAAATTAAAGATAAAAGGGTGCTATGCGATCAATTAATAAGAATTAACGTCAATTAATGAATTAACTATTTAAAAAAAAATGCGTTAACTTCACTTGATTTTTACTTAAATTTATGTAAAAACATGTTAAATTGAGTGTTATATTTTTTTGGTCTTATTTTTTTGGTATTTATTTTTCGATATTGTTTAAAACTTAGTTGATATACATTTTGTACATTTGTGTAATATTAATATTATAATTATTAATAATCTCCTTTTACATCACCTTTTTTTTTTCTTATTCTAATCAAAAGAAAAAAATATGTTTCTTTATCTCTTTCTTAGTTTTATGTAATAAAACTTTAAGTTTTTATTTTTTATTATTATCTTTCTGCTTTAGTACATTTTGTACATTCATAGTTATATACATATGTTAAATAAAACGTATTAAAACATGATTTTATTTCTTTCTTTTTTTAATATTTTAGATATTTAAGGTATTAACCTTTTCAGGACCATGCCGGATTTGGTAGCCATATATAATATGTTTAGAATATTGGAATATGTTTAGAAAATAGACTTTTTATAACAACATTTATGAAAATAATGTCGGTTTAATAATATAATTTATCATCTAGAAGTAATGATACATTGAACTCTTAGGAAGATTTTTTGTAAAAGCAGAACACAAGAAGATCAAGAACATTTGAAAGCTGCAAATGTCTATGGTAGGGAGATGGGCTGTCATGTCTGCTTTTTAACATTGCCTTGGAAAAGGTAGTACGAGATGCAAGACTCCAAACATCTTGAACAAGATTACAACAAGTCAACGCAGATCTTGGATTCCATAAATTTATTAAAGTGCAAATGTTGAGATGGAATGGCCATGTAACCAGAATGGACAGAAAAGGTACCACAAGATTTATTTTTGATCGCCGCCGAACTGGGTAGAAGATCGATTGGGAGGTCAAAGAGACAATTTGTGGACGGTGTGAAGGAGGACCTAAGAAGGCTGGAGATCAGGGCTTAGGGACGACAGGAATGGGATGGTCAAATTTGGAAGAAACTGTTAAGGCAGGCCAAGGTTCACAACAAGCTGTGGCGCCAAGCATGATGATGTAGATAAGCCTTGTGTTGGCTCATTTCTCGTATAATGTCGTCAAATGTAGTGTTTGTGATAAAGTGCTCAAAGATTCCCAAGGGATCTTGGGGAGAAATTGATCTTACAACCTGGATTTGCGCCGACAAAATGGACGCCACTTGGCGAAAATAATCGAGTTTGTAAGGCAAACAACTTTAAAAACGCAATCTTATGGTTTTGGTCCCTACACATGCCTTTGATATTATAAGTATGCAACCAAATACGAAAATCGCGTATTGCAATACCAATACTGTGATATTGGTTGCATACTTGCAATGATGACGGCGGGTACGATAATTAATTAACACACTGTATGATAAAAACATTTTATTATACAGTAGTTTTGGACAAAAGAAGGCCGCGTATACAATTGCAAAATATTTAAATCCTTGGCCATCTAATTTTGAACTCAACCGAGCATCTTCTCTTAAACTTATTTCGTTATTACGAAGATTATCGTCAATAGGAAAAGAATCCTTGCAAATATTAAATTGTTTTCTGTTATAAAGCTGATGAATACACATTATAACTGCTATAATATCCGAAATTCTTATAAAGCCTGGTTGACATAGTAATCTAGCGAGTCAATGCAGTCCAGTGCTGGACTCATATCATATCATTTACATTATTCCAGTCATTCAAAAGCTGTTGAATCGGTAACACTATAATAACAATGATTTCAAGAAAGGACTGTTAGAATAAGTAACTGATGCAGTGGAAGAAGAAGTAAGGAAGGTGGTGAGAAAATGGATAAGCGAAAGAAATATAAATTGAGGTTCGATTCTTTTTCGACAGCTGAAGTTAAGAAAGATTCCTCTGAATACAGGTTGGCAATGAGAATGACGGCAGAAAATCTTAAGGAGTTGTTATCATTAATTTCAAGTAATATTCAACGTAGCGACACGTTATTCAGAGATGTTATACAGTCGTCACTGGACTGGATTGCTTGAATGAGGGCATTCCAGTGCTGGTTTACATTATTCCAGTGGAATTCCAGCTCTGGTTTCAATCACGACTGGAATTATGCGAACCGGGCATAAGTACGTTTTCTCTTACAGTAGATACTTTGCTTTTCAAAATAACAACATTTTGTCAGCTTGTTTCTAGCAATCTTTTTTGAGAGTTTTCTTCTGAACTATTTTGAACTTGATTGTCTTCACCGATTTTTCCTGTTGTAATTAATTTTCTGATTCATATTTATGTGTTTTCATTTCCTCATTATCTTAATGCTTCATTACATAGCATCTGTTGGTAAATGTGTTTTCAAGCCAACTACAGCTTTACAGCAAAACATAGCTTCATAAGGACTGCAATCTATTCCAAAATGATGATCCCTATTTTTCATGATAGGGAAAAGTAAGGATCAAAATGCAAAACGCTAATAATTGCCGGTTTATGTGATAAATTCGGTTATTATTAATATAAACCGATTAATAAGTTGAACCATACTGTTAGGATTAAAAACATTTAATTTTTATATTCTATAATATATAAATTAAATAAATTTGAGTGAAATTTTATTTCATTTAATTTTAATAAATTAATTACAATTTGTATAATTTTGTAAAATTTTTGAAAATTCATTAAAATCTATTTGTCGTTCTTTCTGTTCGATTTCTAATCGATTTTGAAGTACCTTAACATTTTCTTCCGCCAATTCTAATTTATCCTTATAATTTTCTTCTTTCTCCTTACCCCTATGTCCGCTTCCGCCGCTATAAACCGAATTTTTATCATGTTTATCCAATTCTAAGCATGCAATTCTCGATTCTAATCGAGCATTTTTTTGTCTTTCGCTTTTTAATTGTAATTGTAAATTATTTAAAATTTTTCTTTCGGTTTCTAATCGTTCATTGGCTATTTTAGTTAATTCTAATAAACGTATTCGTTCAGCTTCCATTCTTCCTAAAGTTTTTTCGTCGAATTTCGACGATTTTGGTCTATTAATTGAATTAATTTCATTTCTTGCATTACTAATTAAATCTATTTGTGATACATTATTTTTTTGGTTATTTAAATAATTAATATGTTCATTTTTTTCATTTAACTCATTAATCAAATTATCTCCTCGTAATTTTTCTTTCTCAATGTTCGATTTTAATTCTTTAATTTCTTTTTGTAAACGAGAAATAGTTTGGTCTTTACGTTTAAAATCATCATTTTGTAAATTTCTAATTGTTGATAATTGAGCTGTTAAACTCGTTATTAAATTACGATCGTTTTCTTGTTGTTCGTTTATAACGGAAATTTTTCCTTTTAAAACAGAATTTTCAGTTTCAAAAACTTTTAATCGAGCTTTACTAGCATCTAATTTTCTTTTTAAATCTTGAAGATCGTTTTTGAGTTGATTGTTTTCTTTTGAAACTGCTTCAATACGTTTATCTGGTTTAATGTAGGGTTGTTCCGGTTTTGGCGATTTTTCTGAAAGTGATTTAACTTTTTCTCTTAATTCGGCGTTTTTTTGTTGTAAATCGCAAACCATTTGCGATCTTCCGCGCCAATTAGCACCGGAATTAACCAAACTTTGTAAATTTTCGAAAGTTTCTCCTATTTCTGATTGTAAAAATTTATTTGCTAATTTTAAATCATTTTTTAATTGGGCATTAACGTTTTTTGTTTCAAATAATTTCGCGTTTGTTGCCGATAACTTCTCTTGAAGCTGTTTTACATCATCGATTTTATCTTTGTCGTTTATTTTTTCTTGAGATTTCTTTTCTTTATCGCTTATTGCTTCTTGTATTTTCGGAGTTTCGTCTAAAATTTTTAATCGACTTTCTAATTTTGAACATCTTGTTTTTGAAACCTCTAATTCGGAGCATTTTTCTCTTAATTTTTTGCTTAACTCAACAATTTTTGCGCTTGCTATATTAGAAACCGTACTAAAACTCCCTCCAACAGATGCATCTTGAAATTTTTTTACTTCTTTAGTTAAACTGTCAGTTTTTGAAAGACTTTCTTTTAGTTGATTTTCACATTCTGATAAATTTCTTTTTAACATACCATTTTCATGTGTTAAGCACTAATAAATGATTAATTTTTATACACAATTCTTTTTTAGGTAACTTACATGAATCTGATCCCGTAAATAAGTGTTTAATTCCTCTGGAAATAGGATATCTTTTGGTATATCAGGTACAAAAGTATTTGATAAACCTAATTCGGCGATATCTTTATCGGGGTTTTGGTTAGATTGAGGTTCCAACATTTTTTTAAATTAAAAAATAATTAATTTAAAGCGTCAATGTCTTATTTATTATTAATTTTAATTTCTAATTTCAGGTTATTTATACTTTGCGAATTTACTTTATTATATAAAATAATTTAAGTCTTATTAATTAAAAATTTAATACAGTTAAATCATGTTTATCTCCAATTTGTTAACTTATATCCAAAAATCGATAAATTTGAAACGTAAACAAACCCCCATTGTTGCCAACCATTTTCATGAAAGGACTCAAAAGTTACTAGAAAAAAACACCTATCCTGAAGAGTTCTTGTTTGGTGCTCTATAAACCCGCATTTTGAATGTTAGCTGTTCAAATTTCAAGGTAAAAACGATAAGGACGTCTTCGTCGAAGTCGCGTATCATATATAAAAAGGCTTTTAAGGGTGTTTAACCATCAAAAATGGTCGATTTAAGCGGCGGACAAGACGGGCCTCTGGAACATCGATTTTCCAACTTGGTTTTTGTTGTTTCTGGAATTATATTTATTTCATTAGCAGGTAAGACAAATTTTTTAAGCATCTTTTTATTAATTTCTTATGATTTCTGTTTTTTTAATGTCTACAATTTTTATATTTAAAACTAGTTGAGGTTAGTAAATTATTTAAAAAATTAACTCAACCTTCAGAATATTTTAGTAATTTTTACTACTTAATGGTAAAAATAAGATATTTTTATGTTGCTCTTAAGAATGTTGATTAAAATGCTATTTTAAAATATTTCTTTAAGTCTTAAAGTTTTGAGGATGTTAAAGAATTATCATAAAAGAATTCGAATTTCCCGCATTAAATTAATATATCATATTGACTAGAGTGGTTAATTATTCTTTCAACAACCGAAACCCAGACTGTTTTCTTCAATTCTATTTTTCAAAATGATTATTGAAACTGCATGAAAGATTTGAAGCATTGCTTTTCCATTATAATAAGGATCGTCCAAATGTCCTCGAATTAGATGAGCACCACAGACAAGAAACAATTACTATCCCTGTTGATTGGGAAGTTTTCATTATAGAAAGGACTTGGAAATAAGCAAAAGAAGACGCCCTAAAACTGAAATCAGCTCTGTCTTTAGCTAAGTGTTATGAAACTGTGGGAATAGTTGAACGTCGACTTGGTGGGCATTATGATAAAGTCTGTGCATGGTAGAAAATGGTTTTTTATGATATCGGGATCTTCCAGTAAGTATTTTCCGATGCATGGTGTACCCGATAAAGTCTTTACAGGGAATATGATATTCTTACATGCTATGAGTAGATGTGACGCTACTTCAGCACTCTATAGGAAGTAAGCAAGAGCAAGGAAAAATAAAATTTATAAAGACTTTTTCTGAAAACGCAAATTTTGCTGATGTGAGGGTCCATGGACTGATATGCTTCTCACAAAATCCATCCCTACACCGCTACAGCTATGAGCAGTTGCATAACAACATTAATTCAGGGTCTATAAAACACGGGGTTCATTATTCCAACATGTCTCCCAACTGCACGAGGACCTGTAAGAATGTGTTTGGTGAAATAAAGGAATAGCTGGACCTCGAAGCTGCATTGACTGAAAGAGTAGGTTTGTATGAATACCTAAACTTTTTTTCTCAAGACGCGAATGAAAGTTAATAATCTTTGAAGTTTACTGATTTTGGTGTAGATGTATTTATTACTCACTCACAAATAATTAATTCCGGACTATACACGTATTAAAACTGCACTATTTACATTGAGTTGATGTTCCTAATCATTTTTAGCACAGAAACATAAATGAAAGCGAACACTCAATTAGATAGAGTATATAGAATACATCTACAATGTGAGTCAGAAAAAAATTGGAAATCTCAGAATGGAGATGACTAGAGAGGCTATCTCCAAAGAATTGCGATAATTGCTGCAGGAGTTAATTTTTATTTTAAGTTTTATGGATAAACCAAGGACAGTAGACTTTAACAGGACTGCTACATCCATTGTTGTGACAATCTGCCCGCAAACTACGTCACACCATTTTCCACGCCCAGCTGTTGTTATGGTCTATGCGTCTATGCGTGTCTGTGTATATTTAGAGGTTATATCCTAGACGTATTCATATTATTTTTGAAGTTTTATGTTTTTAGACGTATTAATGTCTATCATATAACCTCTAAAAACACAGACAGTTACCAGGCGTGGCAAATAGTGTGACGTAGAGTGCGGGCAACCAATCCGTAGTGGACTACAAAAATACAATTCATGTAGCAGTCCTGGGATAAACAGAACAATAACAATGTTGACTTAAATTCCATTTATTTAATATAATTAAATAAAGGTATTGGCATCATTCCTACTTCGTATCAAATCAGAATAGCCTTAATAGCCTACCTGCGGGCACTGAATTTTAGCCATGACAGTTAAAGCACCGTGTCTATAAATGAACAAGGGGTATTCTGATTCGTATCTTAAGATTCTGTTGCCAAAAGTTGGCGACATAATCTATCCCAACAATTGAAGGTCTACTTGCTCATTGCCTGGCTAAGTTGTAAATTGAATGGGTCAAGAAGTCATTATCAAGTCGAAGTGCAGTTAAAGATTTTCACATCGTTTCTGGTAAAGTCCTTTAGAGTGTTAGGGATTGACTTAATATTGGTTTGGGTGAGGCATAGTATTCAGGTACCACTACTAAGATCGTTGTTGGCGAGTACTTAAGTATTCGTCCGCATTCATTACTGTGGGTGTTAAGCAGAAAGACTCTTGTTGAGTTTAATGTTAAAGAGTGCTGTTTAATGTAATAAAAAATTGTTGGAAAAGAAATTCCGCACATGTATCAATGTCGGAGTTGTTGGGCCGAGTAACTGGATTGATAATCTCTGGTGCGATAAGCACAACGCTAACTCTAGCAATGATTGTTCTGCTTGGCCTATCTCCTTTGCATTTACATATAGAGAAAGTGGCTAGAAGTATCATTTACAGGTTTAAGCAATATGCTCAAAACTGCTCCAACATGTCCTACCAATGGGCTGCGAAAGACACGATAAACACTGATATTTATTTATTACATATTTAGGATGCATACAAGAAGAACATCTCCAACAAAGCATCCTCATAATAACGAAAATAAATATAAAAATTATGACAAACTAAAATACAAAACAGCCGCTATACGTTAGTCAGTACACATTCTCTAAAAGAGCCTAAAGAAACGTTAAAGAGAGATACATGGTTGAAGCTCTGGTTATAGTAATTAAGAATTCGAACTAATGGCGAGTTTTGATAAAGGTTGGTGTTAAATACATTAACACTGCACCTTGAAGCTCAACTCAGGCAGAAGCTCGGGGGTATCCAGCCTGCCATTAACAAGCTTGAAAAGGAAGATCAAGTCAGAAACAATTCGACGTTGCTGCAGAGGCAATAAATTGAAGACTACGCAACGCCTATCGTAATCGCAGTAAGGAAGATGAAATTTATGCGTCAAATAACGTACAAACCGTTGTTGATACACCGCATACATGGGGTTCCATATTACGGAACCATAACATAGCACACTGTTGACAAATGCTTAATAAAGGGTTTTTATACGGAAAAAATCGTGAAATTCTTACTGACTCTGATAACAAACCCCAAGTTACGTAGAGATTTCTTTACCATATATTCAATATCATGATGAAATCGCAGTTTTGGAATCCACTATGATGCCAAAATCTTTTACTTTATCTGTGAACCGGATAGCAGTACCGTTAAAGTTGAGAGGATAACGTTTTCAAGTAAATGTAATTTTTTGGCATTTATCATAATTTAGGTAAAGTTTGTTGAGTACTTCTGCAGGTGGTCAAGATCCTCTTGTAGTCTAGGGCAGTCTAAATTAGACCCGATCGTTGTGAATATTTTATTATCGTCGGCATTGAGTAAAAACTTAGAAAATTTAAAACAAAAAGAAATATCGTTTATGTACATTACAAATAGTAAGCGTCCAAGATGACTGCCCTGACGCACAGCGGATGTGATAGGTTTGTAACCAGATACAAAGCTAACAATCCTGACCGCCTGACTTCTGTTAGATAAATATAACATAATCCAGTGAACAAGATCATCTAGAATATCAAAGAAGAAAAGTTTTTGTACAAGAATAGTATGAATCTGAGGTTCAAGCAGATATTTCAGTGTTCATAGATGGACCAAAAACGCCGGAACGGGTCGGAGCAGGAGTATACCGACAGACACTTCGGATTAAGCAAGCTTACAGGCTGGGTACGTACTATACTGTAGTACTATACTTCACTTATAGCAGCGAAGACCATGGCAGTACGATTTTTTTTCAGACAGTCAAGCCGCTCTCTAGGCGCTGTAGACCGTGAAAACGGTGTCGGATCTGGTTGAAAAGAACTTTAAACACACTGAGTTGTAATAACAGAGTTTCTCTGATCTGGGTTCCAGGTCCCTCTGGGGTTGCTGGCAATGAAACGGCAAACGAGCTAGCACGAGAGGGCAGCGCTGAAGTGTTTGTGGGGCCAGAGCCAACAACTGATATATCATTTGTGATGGCCAAACATAGGATTGGAGTGTGGGGGCTGAAGAGAGACTTCACCTACTGTGGACTAGTTCTCCTGGAATGAGACACGCTAAGTTGTTTATTAACATTTTGTTAAACCCATGGAATATTTTAGGACTTGCTCGTAGCAACACAAAGTTCTAATGGGTGTCATGTTCAGCATATTTTGTGCCACTGTCTTGCTGTTAATCGTATAAGATTCTCGATTTAGGTTGGTTGGTACGCCTACCTGATATATAATTTATGTAATGTAATATGTAGATTACTTCTGCTCCTAAACAGCTGAACTCTGATTAACGAGGATAATTCAGGCCTTGATTGACCTTATTATCCTGATTGACAAACTTATCTTTACCGTCAACGGAGCTAATGATCCATTAGCGTTTGTTAACATTTTCAATCTCTTGCAGTACTTTGTTCAGAATGTAGAATTAATGACAATATGCGTTTTGAGTGGACCAATAATCTTGAGAGTGGCTGGAATTAGCGATTTTTTGATTTTTTGGTTCGGCAAAGACTATGTTGTAGTTTCTACTTGACACTAACACATTGTTCACTACTTAAGGGAAAAGTATTCCATCAAATAACATCGAGATGTGGAAGTGCCGTAGTAAGTTTGCTCGTTATGGCACTCGTAATCAGTACTATTTTGGAGTTATGACCGCTATCCTCGTGATATGAACAGCAAACTCAACTTATTTTTGTTTAAGAACGTCAAAATAGTTCTCTACTTGAATATTAAGTTTGAAAGTTCTGGTCTTCTATCGACCGCAAGGAAAAAGTGGCGCATTTCTCGATATCATCCATGAAGGATTACTGTTATGGCACTTCTTATTGAAGTTTGCGGTACCTGGCGTCAGCAAGAATGATCAAGTAACGACAAAAATTTTGATTGCTCGGTGTAAAGATAGACAAATTGTTTAAGTAAGAAAATCTTCCTTTTGATTTATCAGGATTTTATGCTTGATTTTATACTTAGTACTCGAAACCGGTGCCATCATTATTACTGATATTAATCGTCAGGGCAAAAGCTGATTCTGAATAAATATTATTTTTCTTATTATTGTAGCATGATAAAGTGACATAAAGGTTAGCTTTTTTAATTAATCTCGTGTTTATTCTAAAGGTAAAGTTAGCAAATAACATTTTAGTTTTGAGTTAGACGGTCATCGATCTTAATTTGGCAACTTACGACAAACTTTAACTTTTTATCGAATTCTTATCGAGATGTCAATTTCTTATAAACTTTTAGTAACTTTTAAATCCAATTTGTCGAAAATATTGTGTTACCGTTACACAGTTACAACATTTATTGAAGTATATTTTCTTATTTCAAATGTAATAAAGATCAAAACATATATTTTTCTTCGTAATTGCTTCAACAATTTATTATTTAACTTAATCGCATAAAATAATTTATGTTGACACAAATAAAACTCCTTATTAAGCAACAATATTACGTAACTAAATACTTGATAAAAAATGTTTGTTGATTTACTCCTAAAATAACATCTTTTATCTAGTTATTTTCTATTATCTACGTTCATTTTGTCTCTGTAAATAGAAAACATTGAGAAAATTTCGCTTTTAAAGTAAAGCGATTTTCTTATCACTGAACTAAACAAAATATGTAACATACTTGAAACTGGAGTGAGTGCCAAGTTGTTATCAAGTTCCACGTTGTCCACTTTATTAGAAAACGTTTTATTGAAAACGTATCAGTTTTGTAAAAGAGTTGAGTGAAGTAGAGTGTAAAGTTTTTCGAAAATATAATAAATAAAACATGGATGGTGAAGGTGAGAGCATATTGGATGCGGTTAATTCGCAAGAGGATGGACCCATACCTAAAATGCCAAAAGATTTCAAAATGCCCACACAAGAAGAACTTATAAAATTAATTTCCGAATTCGATATGAGTGACGAAGAAAAAAACGACTTAAAAAAGAATATTTTAAGCGGACAATTCCTGAAGGGTTTGGGACTTGATCAAAAATCTCAACAACAATATTTAGACTCGTCGAAAATTATTATTTTTTTGTCGTGCATAACGATAATGATTTTGGTTTTCGGTAAGAATAACAAAAAATATACAATAAATAAATAAATTTTTACGTCTGGTTAAGATTAAAAAGATAAATAAAATGCATTTTTATAACTCAATATAAAAATAATTATTTTATGGCATAATTTATTAATAAAAAGGATATATTTCAGTTCAATTTGTCTCAAAATAACAAAACCCTCGGTGTAGGTCATTTCAAAGTTTTTTAATATTTCAAAATGTCTGAAATAATTGAAAGTGATTTGCTTGAAGAAACGCTTTCAAATGAAGGCGTTTTGGATAAAAACGATCCTGAATACGAAGCTAAACTTGAATTAATAAGAGAGCGTGTATTGGAAACTCAAAAACTTTCGACAGGGATGGGTTTACAAGATATTCTTTATGTTTTATATTTTGTTTTTATATTTATAATCGGTAAAACCACACATACATAATTGAAATTCAATAATTAAAAATTAACAAATGGGTAAGTTTTGAAATATTAATCATTTTTTTTTAATTTTTAGTATTTTTCGGATATAAACTCTACAGATCGCAAACGGAAAAAGAACGAAAGCGCGAAGAAAAGAAGAAACAAAAACAGCAAAAGAAGAAACATAAATAACTTAATATTTTAATAAATTCAAATTCTTATAAATTTATTTATTAAGATTTTCTTTAACCATCCTTCGTCATCATTATCCGTTTTTTTAATGTTTTATGGAGTGAAATAAACGAATAAATGTATGTAAAAGAAATAATCAGGTTGTTTTTAATAAATTGTTATTTGTTTTAAGTACTAAATATTTTAAATAAATGGTGCGTGGTGTACTTTTGTTATCAAATATTGATTACTTTATTTTAATCCTGAATAATTTGAACTAAAAATAACCCAAGGAGCGATTAACTAATCTTTAAATTGATATTTAATCTTTAAAAAAGTAACAAATTACTTTTTTTGGGTAGCGACATCTATTAAGTATTGTTAGAAACTGAAAGTTTTGATTATCGATAAAAGGTGGTACTAATATCAGTAATATAGCACAAATACTTCCGAATTTTCTTTTATGTGTGGGGTGATAGTACATTCTTATTCAATCTGGTAATGGAGAATATTATGGAAGAAAAAATTTGTTTGATCTGCTATGTCGACGATGCTGCGATAACTTAGAAGACGATCTACCAAAACAACTTTACAAATGAGCAAAAAACTGAATACGCTGCTCTCTCTTGATAAAACCAAATACATGGTGATAGCCAATTGGCCGTTGAAAACATTCCCATCGAGCAGGTCATGTAATTTGTCTACTTGGGCGTACAAATTTCCAGCTACAATGATCCTGTTAAAGACCTAAGATCACAAACTAATAAGGCAACGGCAATATCGGGTGCCTTAAGAGACATTGTTTGGTATAACAAATAAATGAGAATCGCCAGCAAAGTTAGGATATATAAGACAATAACAATAATGGATAGAATCAAGAACGACGATATCAGGGAAAAGTGCGAGATACAAGATATCGTGAGATAGGGAGACAACGGAAAAGAGCATGACATGACACGTAGACAGAATGCCAAATAACAGATTGTCCAAGGCTATCTTGATATACAACCCCCCAGACACCAGATCACCAAAAAGATATCCAGGATATAACACGGAGACAAAACCAGACAAATAAAGCTAGAATCTTTTTTAACAAAAACATCAAAATAAGAAAAGAAATCCACAAATTCCACAACAATTCTATTTAAATGAAAAAATTGTCACAATTATTAACATGAATTTCGGTAGTTTCAAATTTCTGGTTACAATTTCTTGTTGTTGTTAGAAGACGAGGTTAGTGGTAAAATAAGGATGTTTTACTTCCTTTATTGGTGATACTAGCGGTGCTGATGTTGATGGTATCTGATTTTTATTCTTGCCATTTCCAAGAATCTTGTTAGCGGTTTCTATTTTGGTGTGGACGGAATGTTCAATATAACTATTAGCCATCATCGATGAACGCCAGCCCCCATGGAGCTTTTCATCTGAAATATTGCCTCCATAGTTTGCTTCTTGATTTTGTTTTGATTGTGTATGCAAGATGAAGCAGAAGGACAAAAAGTGAATGTTCAAAAAACAAAGGAGATGATGATCGATTCTGTAGTTAAAGCTAAGTTGAAAGTGAATGGAGGAGACTTGGAGTTGAAACATTCGTGTACTTCGGTAGTATTGTTGGGGAAGATGGAAAATAAGAACATCTCAAAAAGAACCAAACTTCGCTTGTTTAACAGCCACGCAGTCAGCCCTCCTGTATGTGTGTGAAACATGGATGTGTGGAAACATGGAAACATTAATCGTTGCCTGCGGCGTATTATAAATGTGGGATAGTCGGAGATGATATCCAATGAAGACTTGTCCAAATGAATACAAATGACGTTGGATTGGGTACACGCTAAGAAAGCCTCATGGAACAGTTGAAATGTCAGCGCTTTACTGGAATCCTTGGGAAGATTACGGAGACGAGGGTGTCCAAGAAAGACGTGAAAGAATTGTTGAGGAAGAAGAAAATACCTTCTTCACAATTTAATATTCATAGTTTTCTACAGAATGGATTCTTTTTGTTAGACTGGTGTTTTATTTTATAAATCTACATGTTTTACTACAAATCATATTCCACATATTATGTTAACTAGTAGTGGAATGGTTATTCGGCAACTATCCGGCCATTTTTTTTAAATCCGGAAGGATATCGCTTTATGTTTCATCGATAACTTTCAAAATTCGCTATAAAATTCATTTCTTAAGGATCCTTGTGGAAATATCACCAATTATTAATTAAAGTATCCTCTTTTTAACGCAACAAGCCGTTTTGAAAAATTGCTTTTAATTTTTGAGATATACATTTTTGAAATGATCGACAATTTTTTCGAATTTTGCAATTTTCGCCGATTATGTTTTAAAAATCTGTATAAAATCCATTTCTTGGAATATGAGTTTGAAAATTTCCCAAAGTGTTAATAAGAGTGTCCTCTTTCCAATGAACCAACACGTTTTGAAAAATAACTTAGTTTTTAAGAAAACAATATTTGAAGTTTTGATAAAATTTTCGATGTTGAATACACTATTGTGCAAAGTGTGAAAATATTTCCACTCATCTTTCATCAACTTCGACGTTTCAATTTTTTACTCTATGTGTTATGGTACGTTCTTATCGTAGCCGAATGATTATGTGGCGCTCTGTTCTGCTGTAAGACTGTAAGACAATATCCATTTGAAAGTACCCTACATTATTATTCGTCGAATTATTTGACCAGACCAACTACAAAAGTTATACATGATATTATTTACACAGTCTTTGCATAGAGTATAATAACATTAGAAGTTAATATCTATCACCCTTTTGGAAAAATTACTTTACTAAAGAATTTCGTCTGTGAATAGTTCTTTTGCCCAAATTAAAGATGTCCTCGCTGCCAAGTCAAAATGGCATAAATGACACTTACTTGATTCTTTAGGAAACAAAAAACTTTTATCACGTCGTAACAGTGGCCATTTTGGCTTGGCAGCATCGATGTTTGTTGATTTGCATTCACTTTTTCATGGAATTTTTGTTTTACACATATTGAGTTCCTCATTGCAGTTCTCAATAATTTATTTTGGAATGTACATATCTATTTCATGACTGGATTTTCCAGTGTTTTCCCAGATTTTGCATGCTTACATCATCAGTGGACGAATTAGTGAGGTGTATTAGTAGCTAGTATATTCAGGTTTAAGCGCGGATTTCCTATTTCTGCCATTTATTCCATAGTCTTGACCTAGTTTCAGGTTGACATTAAAATTTCCAGGTCACTCTTGCGTCTAAGTGTACTCCGAGATTCTTTATCGCTTCAAATTAATTTTTCCATAGATAGTCATGAGATAGAGAGATAGAGATATGATTCAAAACTCGTCAATTTATATTTTTTATTAGCCCAAATAGGAACTTGTAGATCTTCTTACTAATTAAGCCGAGGTTCAGTGATTAATGTCATATCTACTTGAAATTGGTTATCAAATCGCATCGCTTCGGCTGCAAGCAACCTCGGCTCAGTTATCAAAAAGCAGTATGATTTCTGATAACTGAGCAACAGCGCAAAGTAATACTTATTGCGGCTCGAAATCTTACTTTTTCATCGTTACTATATGAAGATTTCTTGTGGCCAAAGCATTGCAATGTGTTATCCATTTTTGTACCTACGTGGCATGAATTGACCAATTCAGTCCACCATTTCAATCGAACGTACAGTTTCCCACAATACGCTGAATCCAATTTCATATTGCTCTAAGTCATTAAGGTTGCCCGCCGATTTGTTATGAACAATTTTTCCACATTGTTTACTTCAGATCTTGATAAGTAAAACTAACATACTTATACAATTTCTTTTATGTTTATTTAATACGGTTGGATAAGTATTGGAAAATAGATTTTCTAGATGATATTGGACCTAGATAACATAGATGAAAAAGGTTACTATTTATCTGTTTCCTGTTTATTAAAAGATTTCAAAAGGAAGATTTTATTTAAAAGATTTCAGATTTGAATAATTTCTTTATTTATATTTTTGTACACATATGAAGTAACATTTCGAAGATTGTCAGATATATTCCCTTTTTAAAATAATTGTTTTTCTTAAAAATATTTACATCTTTACGACATCATCATGTTATATTTTTGTATAATTTTCATTTAAATATTTCTTTTATTATTATTAATTTATCATTATTAACACATTTATGGACAGTCAGATTATAGAAGAATACATCTTTTACACTTAGTTCTTTTTTTATTATTATTCTTTACACTTATCGACTAATAAATAATTAAAAATAATTTAGTTATTTTAATATATATAGATAGGTTAAAAATTGCAGAAGCACGTCCAGCATGCAACAATCTTTATAAAAATCTTCATTATTTTCCCATTTATTTATTATTTTTTTTTTCATTTTTTGGTTTTTTCTTTTTTGAAGTCTTTGGTCCTTTTACATAAAAGACATTCACACACATTTAAAAATATTTCATATAACAATTCTCATTATTTACGGATTAACCATAGTTTTTTACCGCTATATCCACAATAAGCGTTTTTTCTGTTGATTTTCGATAATTTTTTAAATCGCTCACGTCCACACTGTGACCTAAATTTAAAATAATTATTTTAACTTTGGTTGAAACCAATTTTTTTTTAATCTTACGTGATCTTTTACATCATTCGTTTAACGTATGAGTTCCTGTTTTAGTCCCGATTAAAGCTAATTGCAACTTTTTTATATCATTTAACGTCGAAAAACCTTGCTCGTCAAATTCTTTCCATTTTATATAATTTTGACGCATATATGTTACTAATTCGGGATAATCAATGTAAGCTGGAATTAATAGAAAAAAAAATGATTTAATATAATTAACTTAATATTATATTACCATTCCAAGCTTCCATCATATCGTTAATGATATAATCAACAAATCCAATTTGCGCTTTTGGTATAGAGCAAGTGTATCGATCGAACATTGGCATTAAAATTGGAAGTCCTTTAGATTTTTCTTCGTCCGTTTGCTGAAAATATTCCTCCGTTATTCTTCTCGCCCACTCTACACATAAACCAAATGGCCTCGTTGGATTTGAAACGTCTGCGCATTTAATCATCATTCTCCGTATTAGAACCATGTGCGTTTCAGGATCTTGAGTAATATCATCTTTTGGCTCCTATAAAAAAATTAATTTAATCAAGTTTCTAGCTTTTCATAAATTCTTACTTCTTCGTCCGGACCCCCACCAGATTTAGTGGAAAATCCACTAACAAATTTCGTTAAATGTTCAAAATGCTTCGTCATTTCAGTCGCTAGAATCATATCAATTATATTTTGCCTCGCTGTTTTATAAGTCTCCTTATCCAAATTTTTGAAAATATTCACTCTATCATCAGCTAAACAATTTTTATTTAAATTAAAATTATTTTTTTATACCAAAACACCTCATTACTCACAAAAAGCTAATTGGAATGTAATAGCAGCATGATGATTCTCCAAAACAGTAACATCGTTATATAAAATAGCCCAAGGATGATGACTATTACAAAGAAAATTGCTCGAACGTCCCGGATGATCAACATCGTGACAAGCTGCAGCTATTAAAGCGGTAGCTTCATCAATTGGGTCCATAATTTGTTTTAAACGATCTCTTTCCATATACGCAGCAACGGCCTAAAAAGGGTGTCAAAAAATCTTTTTAAAACTTTTTTAATAATAAACATTTATTTGTTATTACCTGCATTACATCGGCAGCATGAGTTGAATTATGATAACTATTTTCACTGCGATATTTCGATTCGATTAAAATCAAAAAATTGTGCAAGATTTTTTCGTCCACATTTAAAGTTGCGGCGACATCGAAATGATTAAAAAGCGTTATTCCTAAATTAGCCAAAGGATGTTTATTTGTTAATTCTTCTAAACGCATGATATCGAAATCCCAAGCTAATGCAAAATCCAATAATTCCCTTATTTGTGCCGGCACTTTAATTTTACTCAATGTTTTCGCAGATGACCTGTATATCGATGAATCATTACTACTTCTTCTTGAAGCGTAAGATAAAGGATTAGGATTCTTAAAACACAAAAATTTGTATTAATTTGTTTAAAAAATTATTTTTTAATGATAACTTACAGATAATAAAGCGCCTATTAAATCCGCAGTAACTGGTTCATCTGCTGATTTAACATATTGATCGACTTTCATTTGCGGCGAATATAACTCGGTACATCTTAATAAATCCACAACTTTATCTAAAGCTGTGGTTAATTGATTATTTTGACCTGCCATGTCTTGTGCTTGAGTTATTAATGTTATTATCTACAAGAAGTAAAGTGATTAAAAGTTTTAATTAAATTATAAGCAAAAATACATTGCATACATGAAATAATAATCATTATAATTTAAAACTAAAATTTTTAAAATTTTCAATAGAAGGTTAAAAAACAGAAGAGCAAAAAGTAGAGACAGAACTCCACTGGAATCCTAATAATAGATAGAATAAGTTCTGGGAAGCGAAAACATGGGCGGCAACAAAAACAATTAAGACTGGCCAAAACCTAAGAAGGACGAAATGTTGAAATGGAATGGCAAAGGATAAGATGAAACAGAAAAACAGCTTGGAATAGATTTAGGAAAACTAGAACAGTCGCAGATTAGGAACTATATCGATGAAGGAGGCTGGAAGCAAGGGAAGCCGTGAAAGCAGCAAAACTGGACACTTAGGAAGAATTTGCAAGAAATATAAGTTCGTAGGTTTTCAGGTTTTCACGGCCAGTGTTATTAGAAATGAAACTACGGGCGTCTATTAAAATATTATTCGACGTTTCGGATGTTGTGTTGCAATCTTCGTCAGAAACAAGTCTAAAAGTAACAAAATCTATGGATTATTAATTATTAACTAATTAATGAACTAATGATAATGGCAAAATACATCAAGAGATATGCAAAAGGATAGCAAAAGCAAGTGGAGTTTATTGCCACATAAATAATAGTTCAATATGAAACCAAAAGGAAGAAGACGACGAAGTAGACAAAGAATTCAAAAGACTCCAGTGGGAAGAAGTAATACAGAAAGTGACGTGGAAAATGAGGAAAAGTGTCGCTGAAGTACAAAGAATGACTGACACTTTTGTAGCTCAATCTGCATAAAACAGATTCTTGGAGCAAAGAGACTACTTATAGCAGAGATCGAAGATGATTTCCAAAATGCAGATTTCCACAGAAAAAGAAAAACATTAGTGACGTTCATTGAGCCTAGAAATTCAATGTTAAGCAATAGCAACCTATTCAAGAAGGTGTAAAACCAGGTGACAAATGCATTAAAGATCGCAAGATGCCTAGGCAAACATTTTGGACAAACAAGTACATGCAAGCAGAGAGTAAAGTTAATATATACAATGTAATAGTTCGTCCAGTGCTAACTTAAGGCACAGAGACCAGAACAGAAACGTAGAAAATAAAGCAGAAAGTAAGAAGGGTAGAGATAAAGGACAAATCAATCCTAGGAATTCTTTACAAGACTGACAAACAAACACGGCCGGCATTAAGAGAAAGATACAGCATAAAGGATATTTTCGGATATGATAGAATAGCAGAACACCGAATAGCTAATACATGCAAACGCAATCGACCCGCATGGAAAAGGATATCAAAGCCAAATATGATGGTAATCATCATCCGTTGTACAACAGAAGAAATCGTAAACTAAGAAAATGAAGGAGAACATACAGTGTGTTAAGTAAGTATCGTACCCGACGTCATCATTGCAAGTATACAACCAATATCACAGAACTGGCATTGCAATATGCGATGCAAGTATGCAACCAATATCACAGTATTGACATTGCAACATGCGATTTGCTCATTTGGATGCATACTTGCAATGATGACGTGGGGTACGATAATTAATTAACACAGTGTATAAGTTTGTAAGAGGAAACTTAGATAGTTGAGTGAAAATGTTTTGTTCCACAGATTTCGAGATTCATTCGGTCAATTCGGTTTCAATTCGGTTGGTTTTGAAAACTTGTGCTAAATACAAAAATCCAACAAAGTCCTGTATTGCATAAGATCTGGAATGCAATAATGCTTCATGGAAGCCAAAAAAAAACGAAATAGATGAGTTGAGTCGTATTAGATTCTTTTTGATGAATTTAAGGAAAATTGTAAGCAGTTTCGAATAAGTTATAGTTGATGAATAACTTGATACAGTAGAATGTCAAAAATAAAAACTAATTGGGAATAGATAGCTTGATTTATAAAATTATTAGAATTTTCGAATATATTAAAAATACAAAAATGTTTGCCTCTAATATCAAAAGTAAAATTATTGCTTTTAAAACCATCATTGTTGCAAGTTTATAAATATTTTCCACTCAAAGAGTATGATTTTCTGTTTTATCCAAAATGATATATCCAAAAAAAAATTGCAATTTCTACTAAATTTTGATCCTTATCGAACGGTACTGTATCGAACTACTCGTATATAATTGTTGTGAAGGATAAATTATACCTATATCTAATTCCCCTGTAATTTATCACTATCAATCTATCTAACTAATAGCTCTATCAGAAGTGAATTTATGGGCGCCGGTAACCTAAGAAGCAGAGGGGGGCAATAATGAAATATAGAAATAGAAAATTAATAATTAAATGTTTAAAACATTTTTATTAGTATCACTTATAAGAAAAAGCAAAAACTAATTTCCTTGTATTCTATGCGAAAATATCTAATTACTAAATTGATCATTTTAACATCTGTTCTCTCTTCCCAATGTGCTGAAATTTTTTTAAACGCAACAGGTCGTTGGCGGAAAATTAATGATTATCTTAGCTACTGCTGGAAATAATTTAGATTCACCACAAAGATAAAATTGTTCGGTGCATTCTAGTTAAGTCATCAAATATGCTGGATTCGGAGATCTTAAAAATTTCGGATGCAGCAAACTCAAAGTATAGAATCTAAATATGGTACGAAAATAATCTTAAGAAAGCATTCTTCTGGAAAGTTGGTGTCTGTATTTGGATTTTTTGACTTGTGGCATTTGGAATCGCATATTTATGGAAAGCTACGCAATTTTCAAAAATATATATGTATATATTTGCTCAACATGTCGCAGTTAATCAAACAACATAATCGGTGTGCTTAATGAAGCAATATTTTATATTCTCTTACATTGCTGTATTAATGGCGGGACTACGGCTGGTAGTTTTCCAGAATAATCAGCACAGAAGTAAAAAAAAAACGATTTGGATAATAACTGTTGTAATGAACTAAGATACTCTGCAAGGGATTGTGAGCCTACATCATTTAATGAGAGAATTTTTCAAATTTAGCACTTTAAGATCACGGCTTCTATAAAAGTTATTGAAATAAAAAGAGTTACTTTCTATTCTCCTCCATCTGTCTCGCAGTGAATAAGTCGATCTGTTGAATGACATCCATTACATCCTTTAAAAGTTGTTACTATAACACATTGATTTTATTTTTAGAGCGATTTAAGCGAATCATAAATTAATAAAAAACAGAAATAAGCCATGCAAGGAGGGTTTCCTCCACTCGGAAAAGATGGTGCTGATGTGTATTCCAGACTGGACGTCGCGCCTTTATTTCTTTACGTAGGTAAAATAAAGGCGCGACGTTCTGCCTGGAATACACACCAGCCAGATTGGACAAAACCCTCCTCTCTCCGCAAGGTTTATTTCGCTTTCTTTTTAATTTATAATTGGCTAATTACAACAAACTTTACCACAATTTTGTTCATCAAGCGGTTGCAAAGATATCGATCTCTAAAGTGAGGGGCCTTGACTTTAGGCACGGATAGTACATGAGAAAAAAAGCTTTTCTATAACACTGATGGTTTCTTTAAGAGAAGAATCGAAAATATAGATTATACGTCTCTTAAAGAAATTTCATATATCCATTGCATTAATAACACTAAAACATTTTTTTAACTATAGAAAACGAAACGGTCATATAATTTTTTTTATCTGCCCTAATTTTGCCGTCAGATTTATTAATTTATGGTAAACAAAACGTCGTCGTTAAGGAATTCTGGGTTGGCGAGATCTAGTTTGATTCCACAGTAAGTATACGGACATACTCTAGAGAGTTGCAATAGGTCGAAGTGTTTCGAGAGAATTCAAATTGTGTTGTTTTTCAGATTCAAATCATCTCGTAAATTCAGTATTATTCAGTATTGGCCCGCAAGCAATAACATTTCTTTTCATAATTTTTTGCTTCGCAAAAATATATATAAAAAAATGTATTCTATAAAATACTTTCCTTAACAAGATGGATAAATTTTCTTAGATATTGCATAAACCATTTGATTTAGTACAATATCGGTAATAAATATACTAACTACAGATACTCTTACAGATAAAAATAACTTATAAAATAATGATTCAAGTGATTGATGCGTGGTATTTTTAGCGACAGATATGCATCTAATTGGTGTTACATCATAGCAGGAAATATGGTTTTGTTTAAATATTGAATAAAGATACGAAATCGATCTATTACCTTTGTTATCGGTGCTTCTAAAGGTAACGCACTAAGTTTAGCCATAGAAACCCTCCGATTTTGGTAATCGCTATTTAAACTTCGAACATCCAAAGAAGCTTTTCTTAAACTATGTATGCTGCCACGACTCTGTCTTTGTTCTAAATGATGACCACTATGATCGAAAACCAAAACAAAATGCGTTGGAAGTCTAAAGAAAAAATTAAAAATAATGTATTAAATTAAAATTACTTTTGGATTGTATTAATTACCTTCCAGCACAAACAATTGGTGTAGCCTGACAATAAAAAGTTAATACACTTTCTGTCGCTTTTCTTTTCAACATTAACTGCCCGGTCCATGCTCGCATTTTTAATAATTTATTCGTCATCGACACTATTTGCGAGGGATCGGCTGATAAATATTCTTGTAACGTTTTACCTAAAATCTCTTCATATCTGTATCCTAAATTGTATTCACCAGACGAATTTATATACTAAAAAGAAATTCATTGATAGGTTTAATTCCATTTTGAATAGAAATGGGATATCACTAACTTGCATTCGACAGGATTCATCGGTGACCAGCACCAAATCTTTGCATTTATCTAAAGCGACGTAAAGAGCTTTCGTGGTGGCTTGTAACGCTAAATTTCTCACATCCGATTGCGTTATTTGTAGAAGTTCATTATACCAAACAGTAGAGTTCGTGTTTTCTGTAATACACTAACAAAATCATATTAGAAAAAACATACAAACAATGTTTTTGAATTAATTAAAAGTATTTGGATTGATCAAATTAAAAACTTACCCTATTAAATCCTGATTCTAAAAGTGAAGAAACCGTAATTTCATCTTTTTCAAACACCCTGTGGAAAAAAAAATACTTAATATTAAAAAGATACAACAATTTAATTTAATATTTTCAACTCACCCTTTTTTAACAACAGCTATTAACGCCACATTTGGACTATTCCGACTGTTTCTTATTGACCTGCAAAAAAAGAAAACAAATTTAAAAAATTCTAATCAAAAACATTAGTAGGAGTAAAACTAATTTATTTATAATAATTTTTATGATTACCAAACACGCAGAGTTAATTTGGAAAATTAAAACTAGATTAAATTTGTTTTAAAGTATTATTTACTTCATTACCATGTCTCAATTAATTTTTGAGATACATTTTTTTAAAATTCGTTCTTGTCATGGAAATATCAAACATACAGAGATGGATTCAAAAAATCATAATGACCAGATTAAGGAAAATAAAGAACTTATATTTGGGAGATCAGTACTAGATTAAATTTGCTTTAAAATGCTGTTTATTACATCATGATATGTCGATTAGTTCTTGAGATATGATTTTCTCAAATTTGTATTCAGGAAACCTAATCTTTATGATTATCCAAGAGTTGAATACAAAAAATCATCATGGTCAGATTAAGAGAAGTGAAAAAAATATATTTAGAATATCAAATCCAGATTAAATTTGCTCTAAAGTACTCTTTATTTCATTACGATATCTCAATTAAGTTTTGAGATACGATTTTTTAAATATCCGTTTATGTCATGTAACTATCAAATTTGCAGAGACGCATTCAAAAAATCATAATGACCAGATTAAGGTAAATTTTGAACTTATATTTGGTGCATCAATACTAGATTAAATTTGCTTTAAAATGCTGTTTATTACATCACGATATGTTGATTAGTTCTCGAGATACGATTTTCTTAAATTAGTCCTCAGTTAAACAGAATTATTATAATTATAACATGTGCAGATATGGATTCAAAATATCATCAAGGCTAGATCAAGAGGTGTTAAGGAAATTAAGTGACCTTTAACGTCACTTATTTAAAAAAAATGTCACAATGACTATAAATATACAGTGCGCTGTAAATTTATGGAACTTATTCGATAAAACGACAACAAAAGTTATTTTGCAGCAAGAGCGAAACACATCAATTTTCTTTATTTATGCATGAGTTATGACGACATTTTTGCAAAACATCAAAATAAACCGTTATTCATCGATAATCATGAAAACGCATTAATTAACAATCTTTGTCAAAATTATCAAAATTAGTGTTGAAAGAATTTATTATAACCACTATTTTCTGTTTTTTTAATTATTTTTTTTTGTTTTGCCTTGTTTAATTTTGCGTTAGTTCGGTATTTATTTGTTGTTTAGTTTTCTGATTGACTGTTATTGTTATTGATTGTTTGTTGTTATTTTTCCGTATTCTGGCTTGTTTAGCTTAGGTCAGTATTTATTTCTTTTTTGCGGATTTAAGTTGTACAATTGTAATACAAAATTTAATTTTTATTGAATGTGAGCATAAAACTTGAACACAACAAAAGGTACTTAATTTGTTTAAACTAGGTACCAAACAAAGGTATCAGCAACCATGAAATCAAATCTGCGAAATTATGCAAATGATTTTAATGAGAAACATAAACTCATATTAGATCCAGGTTAGAATACTGAATCTAACCAGTAGATCCAGTATTCTAACTGATCTATTTTCAGTAATATCTGGTCATAAACTTTGTTTCGTTACCTGTCCTCCTACATACCTTCGTAAATACACCTTCTTTTTATTATTTATGGAAAAAGTACCTGAAAATCCAGAAAATGGTCGTATATCATCAGTTCGAATGTAGCTGTTTATCAATGATTTTGAACGGTTTTACGGAGGTGAAATGAGATAAGTGGTAGTAACGAAGACATAATGAAAAGTGACCATGCTTCAAATATTTCAATGTCTGAAGACGAAGTCGAGGACCATGAGGAATCGGTGGAATCCTTTTATGGCTGAAATGGATTTCATGGAAAATGGAACCTCTGTTACCCAAAAACACCAGGATCCCCATATACAACATAGTTATGAATCTTCCCGGTCTTCGAGGTAAAGCAAATAAAATTATATCTCCTACACTAGAAAAGATGTGGAATGTCTATTTTATGAAGACATGCTAAATCAGAAGATATGAAATGGACGAACGTTCAAGTACAAAAGAGTCGTACAGCAGGCAATAAAATAGAATTATTGGATATGGTGGAGGAAAGGATGGAACAGAAGATGAAACAGGTAGAAATATTTTTGGGGCAGTTTTGAGTAACAAAAGATTTTCTGTATTATTAGCCAATTTACGATTTGACATAGATATGATTCCGCCGCTATCAGTTACATTTTTAAAAAATACTTTGAAAAACTATGGTAAATCTTAAGATTTTCCGATAAAACCTAACATTTACCAACTCAGGATGGTAAAAGTCCGAAATGTTCTGTGATCATCATTCATTTCGAACTTTTACCACCATTAACTCGGTAAATCCTAGGTTTTACCGCAGAGACACGGTGCATGTTGTCGTACACGTGGGCAGTCTGCAGCCCCCGCTACCCGTACCACCTCCCTTCACCATCCCCACTCGTCTCAATCGACGTTTCTTTTGATTTCTGTTTGTTTTTGATGTCCGAAGGTAATTTATGAATCGAAATTGATATTAATTCGATATATATGAGTGTCTTCACTGTCTGAAAGTAACTTATCAATCAAAATGAGTCTAAAAAAGCAATTTTATGAAATAATGGACGAACTTGTAGTAAGCAAGAACGATAATAATTTTTATATCGACAAGGACAAATACGCAAAGTATTTAGAAGAAGTAAAAACTGCAAAGAACGTGAAAAGGAAGGAAGCCGTTCATTATTGGCGATTAAAGCGTTATGCTCTTTTGACTATGGCGGCGAAGAAAAGCTAATTGCGCCGATGAAGGAAGGGAATGAATTCGAAGAATCGCATGTTGCTGTTGGATAATGATGCAAGGACAAGGAATGTAGCCACAAGTATAGAAATGTAACAGTTGAGGCTATTATGACATATTTGAAGCTATTCCAACCTTGTTAAAAAAAAAACAGAAGATAATGAAATGAAATTTTCGTTCTAGAATGTAAAAGTGTCATTTCGCTATCTTGTATCAAAAATAACTATATTGTTTTATTCTCAAAACCAATATTTACGAACTGTTATTGGTAAAACTTAGCGTGTACCAAACTCTATTGGTAAAAGACAGAAAAATTATCTCTTATCTAAAAAATCCTCACATTTACCAACTCGTTGGTAAATCTTAAGATTTACCGTAGTTCGGGCTTTTACAGTAACATACACTAGCAAAGACAACGATGGTATCGAACTATCGGCTGAAGAGACATCACTTAGCAAACTTATTCAATCTGTTCTACGTTAGGCAAACCCAATTGTTGGAACAAATAGAAATATAACTGCAGATAACTGGTTTTCATCAATCTATTCTTTTCATCATCTAACTTATCTTGGTACTTTCAGGAAAAATAAAAGAGAAATCCAAAAGAGTTTCTTAAATGCATTAAAAGAACACAGCGATTCTCAATACACGAATTTACGAAAACTGATACACTGCTCTAATCTTAGTTTCGTCAATGCATCACACAACAGGAATAGGTGATGACGGTAAAACAGAGGTAATTGAGTATTATAATAATACTAAGAGTGGAGTTGATTCTCTTGATGAGAAATATGCTATATATACCACTTCGCGACGACCCAGAGATAGATGATGTCTTGTTTTTATGAAATTCTAGATATCTCTGTGGTAAACGCTTTTGTATAATTCGTGTAAAAATATAGAACAAATCGACAGACATGATTTTATGAAAGTTTTGGCAATGTTCTTTGCATAGCCTTACATAGAGAGAAGTTGTCAAAATGCTAAGTGAATGAAACAACCTTTCTGAACACGATATTGATCTACTGGAAACCCGAAAATATTGCTATTTGTGCCCAAGTTGAGTGCGTATAAAAACAAAGTATTTGTGCAAGCAAATAAATATATATATCAAACTTCTGTTAATGTTTTCCTTACAAATTGACGGACCTCATAACGTTTATACGAGATAAAATAGATATCTAAATGGTGTACTTGACGTGTCTTTTTGATTGATTTATATTTAAAGTTTACCTTTTCCGTTGGAATTTCCGAGACTCCACATTAGCCTCAATGAACTAAATATTCACGTCAGTGGTTAAGGGTTAAATACATAACGATTCTCCATAGAATGAGATTTCATTAACTAAATGATGTGCTAAAGAGAAATTTTTGTCTGTATTACATTGCCATTACAGTGTATGCATGTTTAATCGCCTTATCTTGTTGGCAACATTGATGTCAAAGCGCACGGTTTACAATGGTCACATGGCGCAACGTCAGTTAAACCACAAAATGAACTAAATAGCTAAATTTCGAAATCGTAATGAATGGAAAATCTAACTTTGAAAGAGTACCAAAATAGAGATAATAAATTAACATTAAGTTCTAATGAAAATTGTTAACAATGCAACAAAAATTTCAATACACACAAATTAATAAATTATGTAACGAAGTCAAATTTGAGATTAAAAAACTTTTTGAATTTGATCAAAAATCAAAAAGTTATAAGTAACGTAAAGTATTTAATAACTAACTTTATATTTAACCTTGAAATTTTTATTAACATTTTTTTTAAATGAAAAGGTTTCGTTGAATTCGAGGAATATATCTAGTAACTTTGAAAATGGAGATATAATAAATAAAAAAAGGATTAATTTCAACTAACCCGTGTAGAGTTCGTTCTCGTCATTTTTAACAGAGATATTTTACACTGTATCCGCTCTCGAAAGCTTTCCATTTGTACCACTGTATTATTTAATCTATGTAAATATTATAAATAATATTATAAATGTAAATAATCAAATGTGTACTTTATTATTTCGATTCATAACGAAGCAAATCTCGAAATAAAACGTGTATAAAAAACAACGGATTTTATCGCTTGTCGAGTTAAAAAATATAAAACCCTGAAAGTGATTTCACTAATACTTCTTCCCATTATTTTTAACGTGTTTTTATTTTGTAAAAGCACTTAAACCTTACAAATTCAATTCGAGAGGAATTTTCTTTCGCGCTGAGTAT